TTTTTAAATAGTGAGACATTTAAATGTCTAAAACCAAACCAGGTAGAAAAAAAGAAAAAATCATCATCTAGGATGATTCAATACTCGAATTAGCCCCTGGTATCCAGTGCGCCATGCTAGAAAGATCACATTGGAATTCTCATCACACAACTTCCAAATATAATTCATAACCATACTGAATTTTTTTTATCCTACTTCATTGTTGGTGTGCTTACTTATTGCACTGTAAGAATTTATTTTATCGCCAGGTAATCTGCTAGCCAGTGCGTAACTATACAACTTGTGAATAATCACGCTAGAAAAAGAAAAAAAAATTACCACGGAAGGCCAAGTACATTTGTCGATAATCTTGTAGATTTTTTTCTTATGATTTAGCTAGTCATGTAATAGTTGTGATATTTACTAGGCAAGTATTTTTTTTTATATATAATTTGTGGTGTTTGGATCAGTTTATGCGTATTATAATTAATTTTTAGATCTATTAAATATTTTGTAAGTCTAATAAATAAGGCTCGTAACTTATATGAATCTTATTCTAATTTTTTTGGTAATTATATTAACTAATCAGTCTTTCACGGAAAGATTTTACCCCAGCGTCCATGGCTAATTTTTAAACAGTGAGACAATTGAATGTCTAAAGCCAAACCAAGTAGAAAAAAAAGAAAAAATCATCATCTAGGACGATTCAATACTCGAATTAGCCCTTGGTATCCAGTGAGCCATGCTAAAAAGATCACATTGGAATTCTCATCACACAACTTCCAAATATAATTCATAACCATACTGAATTTTTTTTATCCTACTTCATTGTTGGTGTGCTTACTTATTGCACTGTAAGAATTTATTTTATCGCCAGGTAATCTGCTAGCCAGTGCGTAACTATACAACTTGTGAATAATCACGCTAGAAAAAGAAAAAAAAATTACCACGGAAGGCCAAGTACATTTGTCGATAATCTTGTAGATTTTTTTCTTATGATTTAGCTAGTCATGTAATAGTTGTGATATTTACTAGGCAAGTATTTTTTTTTATATATAATTTGTGGTGTTTGGATCAGTTTATGCGTATTATAATTAATTTTTAGATCTATTAAATATTTTGTAAGTCTAATAAATAAATAAGACATCACAAAGATGACAAACATATATATCAAGGTTTGAATTTAGAATATATAAATAGAGAAACTCTACCAAAATTACACTGAATTACAAGCTTTGGTGTATAAAACCAAAATTAAAAAAAAGTAAGTGTTAGAGTGTGTTCATGCCAATGTATTTAAATATAATGGGTAGACTTAAATGATAATGGAGTGTCTAGAAGTACGGTAATTTTTGTTTTATATTTATTTTATAGTGAGACATTTAAATGTCTAAAACCAAACCAGGTAGAAAAAAAGAAAAAATCATCATCTAGGATGATTCAATACTCGAATTAGCCCCTGGTATCCAGTGCGCCATGCTAGAAAGATCACATTGGAATTCTCATCACACAACTTCCAAATATAATTCATAACCATACTAGAAATTTTTTTATCCTAATTAATTATTGGTGTGCTTACTCATTGCATTGCAAGAATTTATTTTATCGCCAGGTAATCTGTTAGCCAGTGCGTAACTATACAACTTGTGAATAATCACGCTAGAAAAGGGAAAAAAATTACCACGGAAGGCCAAGTACATTTGTCGATAATGTTGTAGATTTTTTTCTTATGATTTAGCTAGTCATGTAATAGTTGTGATATTTACTAGGCAAGTATTTTTTTTTATATATAATTTGTGGTGTTTGGATCAGTTTATGCGTATTATAATTAATTTTTAGATCTATTAAATATTTTGTAAGTCTAATAAATAAATAAGACATCACAAAGATGACAAACATATATATCAAGGTTTGAATTTAGAATATATAAATAGAGAAACTCTACCAAAATTACACTGAATTACAAGCTTTGGTGTATAAAACCAAAATTAAAAAAAAGTAAGTGTTAGAGTGTGTTCATGCCAATGTATTTAAATATAATGGGTAGACTTAAATGATAATGGAGTGTCTAGAAGTACGGTAATTTTTGTTTTATATTTATTTTATTTAAAAAATATAAAATCAATATTTTTAGTATTTTTTTATAAATTTTACATGTTAATATAAAAAATAAAAAATTGTTTTAGTATATTTTTAAATAAAAAATATATTTTTCTAAATACTTTATATCATTGTGATTTATTGGGAGGTGGTTGTAGATTTTTTTTTTATGATTTAGCCAATCACATAATAGATGTGATAATTACCAGGCACGTATTTTTTTTAATAATAATTTAGGGTGTTTGGATTAGTTTATGCATACCACAATTAATTTTCGGATCTACTAAGCATTATACAAGCTTAATAAATAGATAAAATATCATAAGAATAATAAGTATACATACTGAGATTTGAATTCAAGATACATAAATAAAGAAACTCTATCAAAATTGTTGGACTACAAGCTTGGTGTATAAGACTAAAATTTTGAAAAACTGAGTATTAGAGTGTGTTCATACCAGTATATTTAAATGCTTTGGGTAGACTTGAGTGATAACTGAGTGTTTAGAAATACGGTAATTTTTGTTTTATATTTATTTTATTTAAAAAATATAAAATTAATATTTTTAGTATTTTTTTTTTGTTTTTACGTGTTAATATAAAAAATAAAAAAATATTTTAATATATTTTTAAATAAAAAATATATTTTTCTAAATACTTTATATCATTGTGATTTATTGGGAGGTGTATCCGTTAAAAATTATCATATCCCAAGAGGATTAGGAAAACTAACATTGCTTAAACGAAAAAAGTTACAAGGAAATGTACATTTTAACGAGTCGCGTGGTTAGGGATGGCGCAATAAATTACGTTGTCGGCGATAGCTTTTCTTAAATATCCAATGTACCGTATTAAAATTTATCTTATTTGTGTTTTTATTCTCGATACTTATCTATTTATTTTAATTGGTTCATAAACACCAGCCCATCTCATCTCTACTCTCCTAAGAAAACATATTTTCTTTATATGAAAATAAAAGTTTTTATTCTAAATATCTATCTATTTTCCTAATCAGTTATTTATTAGATAAACATAAACTCAAATCTTATCCCTACATTTCCTAAACATAATTATCTCCTCACACGTTAGTAATGCATTTGATAAAAAAATTATTTTATTTTCAATATTTATCTATTTTTTAACAGGTCCTCCGTCATTTTGTTTTCTCAAAATTTTCAACATCATTTTATTCTCAAATCAATTGTTTTGATTCCCAGAGGATAAGTATTATTTGAAAATTTAAATTAAACTAAAAAAAATAAATAATTCCGTGCTATTTTTCAAAAGCTTTTTTGGTCTGTACAATTTTTTTATAAATAAAATACACACGTTACTTTTATTACAGAATATACGATGATCTGCATTGAATAGATTACAAGAAAAAAACCCGACAATGATAGCATTCTATCTAACCTATAATAAAAATGGTATAACATTATGTTGTTAGACAAACATTGTAAATTCAAATTTTACACTATTTAAATAGGACTATCTTGTTTTTTATTTTTATTTTTTATTAAACTAATTTGATTTATTAAACTTCCATTCAGTAATATATAAAACACTATCAAGTATTACAATAATATGATTAAACATGTTTTGTCTTATAACTCATTCAAGAAGAAAAAAGAATGTATATGAGTTATAATAAAAAAATAATAATAATAATTACGTGTTAATATAAAAAATAAAAAAATATTTTAATATATTTTTAAATAAAAAATATATTTTTCTAAATACTTTATATCATTGTGATTTATTGGGAGGTGTATCCGTTAAAAATTATCATGTCCCAAGAGGATTAGGAAAACTAACATTGCTCAAACGAAAAAAAGTTAAAGGAAATGTACATTTCAACGAGTTGCGTGGTTAGGGACAGCGCAATAAATTATGTTGTCGGCGATAGCTTTTCTTAAATATACAATGTACCGTATTAAAATTTATCTTATTCGTGTTTTTATTCTCGATACTTATCTATTTATTTTAATTAGTTCATAAACACCAGCCCATCTCATCTCTACTCTCCTAAGAAAACATATTTTCTTTATATGAAAATAAAAGTTTTTATTCTAAATATCTATCTATTTTCCTAATCAGTTATTTATTAGATAAACATAAACTCAAATCTTATCCCTACATTTCCTAAACATAATTATCTCCTCACACGTTAGTAATGCATTTGATAAAAAAATTATTTTATTTTCAATATTTATCTATTTTTTAACAGGTCCTCCGTCATTTTGTTTTCTCAAAATTTTCAACATCATTTTATTCTCAAATCAATTGTTTTGATTCCCAGAGGATAAGTATTATTTGAAAATTTAAATTAAACTAAAAAAAATAAATAATTCCGTGCTATTTTTCAAAAGCTTTTTTGGTCTGTACAATTTTTTTTAAAATAAAATACACACGTTACTTTTATTACAGAATATACGATGATCTGCATTGAATAGATTACAAGAAAAAAACCCGACAATGATAGCATTCTATCTAACCTATAATAAAAATGGTATAACATTATGTTGTTAGACAAACATTGTAAATTCAAATTTTACACTATTTAAATAGGACTATCTTGTTTTTTATTTTTATTTTTTATTAAACTAATTTGATTTATTAAACTTCCATTCAGTAATATATAAAACACTATCAAGTATTACAATAATATGATTAAACATGTTTTGTCTTATAACTCATTCAAGAAGAAAAAAGAATGTATATGAGTTATAATAAAAAAATAATAATAATAATAAAATCAATAATGAATATTCCATAAACATGTTTTTTTAGTGACGGTTCGAGGTACGATGACTATTATTTTTTAAAATATTATTTATTAAAAATATATAAAAAAGATATATTTTTAATTTTTAATTTTTTTTAATATTAAAAAATTAATATTTTTCATACAATAACAGGCAAGGCGCAGGCGCTTTTTAACGTCAGGGCGAGGCAAAACTAACACGAGGAGACCGTCAAGAAAAAGTTGCTCCTCGTAGCGTGGTCATGATCCATTAAAAAACCCCAAAACAACAGAATCCTTTAAAAAAATGGACATCTTACATTTGATAGCTCTGCATCCATAAACCCTATCCCCCCCTGTCCATCTCCCTCTGTCAACCTCATTCGCTTCAAATGGAGGACGAAAGGTCTCTCTCGCTTCTCAAGGTTGGTTTACAAAATGTATTTTCAACAGAATATTAGTTAATTTGCTGCTATTTTGTTTAAATTTCATAAACTTTTGATTTGGATTTACACACACACACACACACACTTACACACACATATATTCGTATATTTATTTTCTTTAAAAATGCCTGCAGTTAATGGTTAATGAAGGATTATTCCCATCTCCAGAAGAAGACGAGAAGAGGAAGATTATTGTCGAGAAGCTCAAAACAGTACTCATTATTCACATTCGCAAAATAATCAATGTTTTCTTTTAGAAAATCTCTGATGAATGTGCCCTATAACTGTTGCAGATTGTGGTAGCGTGGGCTAAGAAGGTGGCCTGGCAGCGGTGTTCAACAAAACAACAAATTGCAGCTACATCTGCTACTATATTGACTTATGGATCCTATGGACTTGGAGTAGGTCTTTGTCGTGAAATGAAATGAAATGCCGATTACTGATAGGACATTTTGAAATTTCTTCGCCGTGGTTGAGTATTTTAAATGATCTTAATTTCTCTAAATTAAGAGCTCTCTGATCATATCCACCTCAATTTGCTTGTAATGCACCAACTCACTATCGCATGTTTGTGTCAATTTTCAATTTCTTTATTTCTTTATTGTTTTTTAATCAAGCACAACATTCTACTATAGACCTTAGATTTGAATGCACCATTCCTATTAATGTGTCCTTGCTAATTTTGATCACATACTTTGTCTTTGTAAAACGTGTTTGTGAATTTTATCTGTCTGGTTCATTCAGGTTCATGATCCAGAGTCTGATATTGATGCTTTATGTGTTGGTCCTTTCTTCGCCACTATAGCTGTAAGTTTTCTCTGTTTGTGCGCATCTAGTTTAACCATGTGGATTGGAATAAGAATTGTCTCGATTTTTGTATTAATCATTACTCGTGCAGGAGGACTTTTTTATTGTTTTGCACAACATACTTAAGAGCAGGCCTGAAATATCAGAAATCCATTGTGTGAAGGATTCAAAGGTTCCTTTGATGCGGTTTACATTTGATGGGATTTCAGTTGATCTTCCATATGCTCAGCTTAAAGTCTTAAATGTTCCTGAAGTAAGTATGCATACCTTGGACATGAACAGATTTTATGGTGGATGAAACATTCTTCTAAACATGATGTTTGCAGTGTTCTTTCCTTGTCAGGATTGAGTAGATGATTGAAGTGCTTTTTTTACTCTTTTTTTTTTCTTTCATTCTTACAAATTGCTTTTATTGTATCTAGTAACGTGGTCACTAGATGTGCTGTGTGCTGCTCCAGTGTGATCAATCGTGGTTCTTTTCCCCAGTTGATAACAAGGATATTTGACATTTCGACTTGCTGAACTGCAGAATGTGGACATACTCAATCTATCCCTTTTGACTAATATTGACGAGACCAGTTGGAAGAGTTTGTCTGGAGTACGTGCTAATCAACGGATACTGCTGCTTGTTCCAAACCTGAAGGTAGATGTTCCTCATTTTTTCTTTCCCATTCACACAAGGATTTCAACTCTTGATTCATTCAGCATGACTATAGTTCATGCATCAGCTTTAACACATCAGTTCCCACATTAGCTGGTACTTGTCTTTTTGGACAATGTCCCATATTTATTCAAAAGATGCATGTGTACACCTCAATATTGTTACAACCACTGCATCACTATTCACAAGAGATTTATGCCTTGATCTATCCATGGTTTATGACATTTGAGTGTCTTGCAATTTTTTCTTCTTTACATGATGGTAATTTCTTGCACTAATGCATTGGTCCTAGATGTTTCCCCTGGGAACAAACTAGGCCAATACATGGAGCTCTTGTGGACTATAATTTTCTATCTGTGCAACACATGCTATTGCCACTGTAATTATGTGCTTAGATGGTTTGCTTGCAATAGATTTGAAGATTTTTCAGATTGCAGTAATTTGTTATAGCAGTGTTTTGAGGAGTATCAGATTTTTGAAATGATGTTTCAGAATTTCCAATCCGTGCTGCGATGTCTTAAACTGTGGGCAAAACGGCGAGGAGTGTATGGTAATGTAAGTGCAACGTGCATGTTAGTTATATCAGTTACATGCTTTGCTTCTATCTGAGATGGGCTTTTAATAGAATAACCTTTCCCCCAAAAAATATGGATCCAATTAAATATGCATTGTTTGCAGCTAAATGGGTTTCTGGGAGGAGTGCATCTAGCAGTTCTAGCAGCCTTTGTTTGTCAAAATCAGCCGAACGCCAGTGTAATTGCTTTAATTTCGAACTTCTTTAGCACATATGCGATGTGGCCTTGGCCTACACCTGTTATGCTGCAAGACGGAATGCCATCAAATGTTGAAGATGTGATTGAGACTCGATTCTACATGCCTATTCGTATGCCATGTAGTCCATATGAGTATTGCCATTCCAATGTCACTAGAAGCACATTCACCAAGATCAGAGCAGAGTTTCTCAGAGGGCATTCTATGAATAGGGTATGTTTATTATTTAATTGAGACTGGAATACCTGTCTTGACTATTTACCATCACCGTGATTTGCTTGTGGCTTCTTTAGCACTTTTTTCTTTGGTTGGAGGGGCTGTTTCGGAGCTAGTTCCTTAATCAGATGGGGATGCTGTTCTATATATTGATTCAGTTCTAGTTAGCTATAGAGATCTTCATCGAAGAGGATTTTATACAAAAGACTGTAGAACTGTTTTCTTACAATACAGGATCTTCTAAAGTTAAAGCTGGACTTTGATGCGGGGAGAATTTTTGAGCCTTTCCCATACTCAACGAACTATACACGATTTGTCAAAATCTACCTTTCAGCTCCTGATCAAGATGAGCTAGGAGACTGGGTGGGCTGGGTGAAGTCACACTTCCGCTGTCTACTTCTTAAGGTAACTGGCTCATGTGCGCTCCTTCATTTTGGTAATCAACCGGGCATTTATTCACATAAGAACTAGTTGTGTGAAGATGTTGCCTGAATCAGTAAATAAAGATGAAAATAAGAATGGGCAATGCTAATTTGTGTCCATGTCTTGGTAAATGGCCTCATTAGCCTCAGTTTCATTGCCTTCATAGTCTTGGAGAATCTTCCCTTCTGGGGTCATACAATGCAAAGGTATACCAACCCCAACCAGACAGATTTTAACTTCAGTGTATTGCTTTTGTGGGCATTCTCAAAGTAATCGATCTAATAGTACTCATGAATTTATTTTTACGTACTGTTTTTTTTTTTACCTCGTGATCTGGTCTCTCCTTCCTTGCAACACTTGCTGAGGTTTTATTTGCTTCAGCTGGAAGCCGTGCAGGGCTTTTGTGATCCCAACCCCATGGAATATGTTGATATGGATGTATCTGAACCAAATGTTGTTTTCTACTGGGGCCTAAATCGCAGCAGAAGCAATTTCGTGTATATAGAACCTGTTCAGGAGGATTTCTCGAGGAGTATATATTGTGGGTATTATGGCATTCGCGGAGAGATGGAATTATCTATCGTGCAAGCATCTGAACTACCAAAGAATGCTCGGTTTGACAGTGGAAACGGCAAGAAAATGAAAGCATGCTGGAAGATGCTTGACTATAATCAAAGGAGGACCCCAGCATATTCGCAACATCTGCCAAGCTACTTTGTTGGGTATGTGGAAAGCAATGGAGACACCGAGTACCCTAGAAGTTAACTGTATGCTCTCTGACTCTCTGTTCTGGTACTGATCTTGTTTTGCATCCTTCCTTGAGAAATTTGTGTGCGATTAGAATTTAGGGTTAAGTGCTTATGGATTGAACAACTTAGTCTGTGATAGCATATTAGCTTTAAAACAACATAAATAGGATGGATTCTAATGATATAAAAAAGAAAGGGAGTTTGTAATAGACGGGACTTTGTGTAAATTACGTGGATCCATGCTTTCCTTCTATTTTTGTTTTCCTTGTACAGTTGTTGAGTTGACAATTGAACCCGTTAGGAAACGAAGTTGGGCATGTTACAATGCAATCAACACGAACCTGATTAACCCAGCTTTGGAGTTTCGAACTAAAGCAATCGTTCTCCTTTGGAGTTATGATGTAAAGCAATTGTAAGTTCTCGTGCCACAAATATTCATTTGGATGAATCTTGTGCAACATACTTTGAAATAGATACCCCTTCAGCAGTGGACAAGAGAGGCTGCAAATCTGCCACAATGCCGAGAAAGAGCCCAATTCGTGTGAGGTGGTTTTCATTATCGATAAGCGCGAGGCAGGCGTTGACTAATCCGAGCGGAATCTCCATGATCAAGGCCATCGGAAGATCAGGATTTTGGCATTTCGAACTTCTTTTCCCAGTACAAGAGGAAGATATTGAACGAAGAAGATCAGCTTCTCGATCACAAAAATATTAGAAGCGAGAGCCCACAAACAATAGGCACGAGGGCTCTGGCCCGTCGCAACACCTTAGGCTTTGCCCCACTTTGCTTTCTATAACTCGGTAACATATTTTATAAACTATAACATTTATTTATTAACAATTATTATTGTTATTATTATTGGTTAAACTACAACATAATGAGGGGCTGACTATTGTTCATAAGCATGAGAAAAATCTCATTGTTTTTTTTTTTTAAAAAAAACGAGGATTATAATAAGCATTGTTATAATAAACGAGGATTATAATAAACAAAACGAGAATTTTTTTAAAAATATCACTGTTCATAAGCATGACTGCATGACTATTATTATTTCTTTTTTTTTTCTTTTTGAAAAAAAAAGAGAAGAAGAAGCCATGGCTGGTAGATTTAGGACTCAACTTCTTCCCTTTTCCTCCATGGCCAGTAGATTTGCTTTGGACGGACTATTGTGGTTCAACCACTGTTAGAAAGTGTATAGGTTTTTTATTTTATTTTATTTTTTATTATTAATGGATAACAAATATCTATAAAAACTAATATAGTTTATATATTAATCCAAGGTTAAGTATGACCTTCCAATTTTTATATTTAAAACCCCTAACAATTCCTGGAAGTCAGGAAGTGAGAATTTCAAAATTTGTTAACTTTGGAAAAATCCCATTTTCTTAAAATAAAATTTAACTCATAACATCTTCAGAAAATTAAATTCATATTAAAACAATTAATTCTTTGGGTATGATTTTAGCGAACCATATTGGTAGAAGTGGATTTTAATGGACCATTATTAAGTAATTTCGTGAGCAAAAGCATCTCTGTTAATTTCAAATTTGTTTCGAGTTGATTAATAAAAGATTTATTGACACATCACAATTTTTATTGAAAATTTATGGAGCCATGTAATTATAGGGGTGAATAAAACCAGTTTCTCACCTTAAAGTTTGGAATAAAATGGTCGAAGTTATGAATATAGATGGGACAGGATTGTCGAGAATTTTGAAATGATGAAATTTCTATTTGACTTTCATTAAATTAATAAGACATTCTCTTATATTACAGGCACATTGACTTGTGGGAAGAATTCTCTCTTCAAATTTATATAGTCATGAAACTTAAGATGTTTATAACATCATCTTCTCGCCTTAAATTTAGAATTGGATTTGATATGTTTGATCTAGATACATACAATATAAAATGAACTTGGTTGAATAAGAAAATGATGGAAATTATAAATAATTTTAATATAAGTCAAGATTTTGGATCTTGGATGGAGAACTGATACTACTCACATGCAAACACAAGAAGATTTGAGGTGATCGGATTGAAAGTTGGCTTGCTTATTTACAAATAACTAAACAATTAAAATCAAACCATCCAAGAAGCAGGTGCACTTGATTGATGAATATTGCTGCTGCAATCCAAAAAGAAAAAAAAACTAATAATAATAATATCATGTGAACTGTCTTACAATCTTTGAATTTGATGATTTGTATAAATGTATTCACAGCACGTCGCTAGTCTAATAGCGGCGGGCTCGTTGCAAATGTAAAGAAATCACAACTTCAAACCCTCAATTTAAAGTATATTTAAGCTTAAAAAATATCCCATTATACGAGAAAATCAAAATAAGCCCTCGTTTTTGTAGCGCGTCATATTCAATCCGTCGTGATAGTAAGATTTCCTTGATCCACTGACCACTAACTACTCCATTGCTCTGCTAAATACAGTTATTAGGGTCACGCTCTTGACTGCCTAACTTACCAATTGTAAAGAACCAGCCTTCTACAACAATTAAAAGAAATTAAAAGGTGGTTTGGTTTTACTACAGCATTTTCACCGTGGTTATAGACACATTTGGAATAGTAAAATTATGATTTTGCCATCCTTTAAAAAAAAATTACAACCAGGGCATGGTAATTTGCTTTTTAAACAGTAAAATAATTAATATAATCTTTGAGGAAGAAAAATACACTAGCGAACAGGGGTATTTTTAACCTTTTCATTTTAAAAATACAGTAAATATTTACCACGATGTCTTTAATTGTTAATTATCTTCAACTCGGGTCAAGAGGTTTTTTTCCCTTTTCTTTATGTTTATTTTTTGTTGTTATTGAGTATGATGAAAGGTAAATTAATATTTGTAAAATATTATTTAATATTAAAAAATGGTTGCGTGTGCATACCACACAGATACATATAAGAATGTTTGTGTTCTTCAAGTGACATTTAATGTATTGTCTGATTATCAAATTCTAGCTTTTATAATAATGTTTTAATCCTCACAACATCATTAAAATCGGTAATATGCATGCGGCTAAATTTTAGTTTTCTACCTAGAAATATGAGTTTTGTTGTTATAGTGAATAGTGATGAGGTGAATCTCTACCGAAGGGTGTGTTTTTTATCACAACCAGCATGGGTTGATCTTCTTTTACTATGATGAACAGTGTTGTATCTCCGCAAAATGAGTTCTTACATAAATTAACGATCCTTCTACGCTTAAGTTAAATAAAGAAGATGAGGAGACCAATATAGAATCTCTTTATGCGAGATTTAACTTGAGCATGAAGACGATAGACACCTGACACGTCTATTTTGTTTTCCATTTCTCTAAGCTTAAGTTGAAGTTTTTAGCCGAATTAAGAAGTCCATGAAAAGTTACGCCTAAAATCTTGAACCTGAAAGCAAAGAAAATATGGTTTTTGAGTATGTTTATTTTGGAGATGCTTCTTGTAGTTATGATTTGAAAAAAATAAATTTTAAAAAAATATATTAGATGTGATTAATTGAATTTAGATATATGTTTAGTAAAAATTATGTTTGAAATTTATATATAATGAAAAATACAGATAAAATATTTGATATTTGTGTGGTTGTGATTTTTTGTTAAAATTTTTTTATTTAAAAATACATTAAAATATCAAAATAATCCAAAAATAAAAAAATATTAATTTAAAATAAAAAATAAAATTTCTCAACAGTGTTTTTAAAATGAAAAAACAAATAAAATTTTACAAAATCCAATTATAAAAAATTGTAAAAACTACTACATTTTAAATTTAATTTTTTATTAAACACCACAATACAAAAAATATAATTTAATATATTACCAAACACATGTTTTTACACCACAAAAACAACTACAAGAAAACAAAAGCAGCCTCTTTTGCCAACCACGGACACACATTTCCAAGGTAAACTGAACCACGAACAGGGCAGAAAAATGGCATCGAAAAGGAGGACGCTTGGTAAAATCAACGTGGTCTGCTGGGGGGCTGCGGGCTGCTTGCCTGTCATCCCTCCCCTCCCCCCGCGGAAAATCCCTTTTGCCGAGGAGGAGGAGGAGGAAAGCAGGTGGGGCCGTGGAGGTCCAGGCCCAAGGGATCAAATTTATCATCAACTGTAAGCAAAATCTTAATTTGATCCCCAACAAAAAAGAGTTTTACATTCTCATCTCATATCTTCTTAAGAAGATTTGCTAAGTACGATTGGGCAGGTCCCTTTAAAACAGTTGGGGTTTGATAATCAAGAAGTTAACATTAAGATTTAATAGTAAATCCATCTTCACAGCCCATATCGGCATCATAGAATTAAGATTGAGGGATCACTTTTCACTTTATTCTGTTTTTTATGTGGATATAGATGTAAATGTAAACGTAGATGTTGCTGAGACTGAGAAAAGATAGACCACGAACGACAGCAGCAGCAGCAGCAGTGCTCGTTAGGGGACAGACAATAAGATGGGCTAGATCCACAGTAACCGGATCCATGGAGAGTAAATCACGAGCTGAAGTGATTTTGTCGACATTGGAGCTTGAGATCAAAACCCAAAACAGTAGTCTTCGCTCTTGACAAGGGTCCAAACTTGTCAGCATCATGAAAGGGTTTGCGTTCATAATGTATATCTCGAGAGATTCATTTGAAAGCAGTGCTATCAACGCCAGGCTAAGATCATTCCAGAAGTTCACGAGCCAGTTTGTGAGATTCCTTTCCTAGCAAGAAAAGAGACAATTAATGTCCGATAAAAGGAATAGAAAGCACTGGAGGCCACAAACTGCTCACCACGTGTCACTCGAAACATGGTCATGCCTCATAATGTCAACCAGACTGACAATGGAATAATACCCATTTTTCAAATCTCTAACCATTTCGAGAGTACTTCCTTTACTTTTTTATCATCATTTTCTTTTCAACAGGAGGGCATATTCCTTTGCGATCAGGTTTCAATTACCAATCAAATCTTAGTTGCTATATATATATATATATATATTATTCATGTTTTTTTTTTAATATTTATTTTTTGTTTAATATTAAAAATTTTATGTTTTTTTATATTATTTTGACATAATAGGATTAAAAATAATTTTTAAAAATAAAAAAAATATTATTTTAACATCCTCTGTATATGCGATGATGATGAAGAAAAATAAAATCACTGACGAATTTACATCTGAAAAGTTTAAGCAGAAACTCATAACCAATTCTTAACGATTTTAAATATAAATAATCATTTCAGAATCCATGACTCGAGGTTCCGAATTAAATATGAGTGTTTTATACAATGATTAACGAGATCACGAGTTCAGTTAACAACTAACATCAGAGAATAATGTGAACGCAACTCCGTATGAAACTGGTAAAGAGTGACGACAGAGACAATCCACAGATTGAGACATTACTATATATATGGCAGGCATTGGTTCAAGATCTGAGTTCATTTCAGAGCACAATAAGCATGCAAACAGAATCCATCATATAACTGCATCACCAAACCAATCTAATTCCCTACCCTTCGCTGCCCCTCTTCCTTTTTAGTTCTGCGAAAAATGAGAACTTCAGTCTCTTCACTGTCCATTCTTCTTCTTTACACCCTCCTCCTCTCAGCTCCTTTACCACTAACCCAATGTGGTGATCTAGTAGACAAGATATGCAAGAAGACACCCTTCTACGACCTTTGTGTCTTGTCTTTACAACCAAACTCAGGTACTGATGTTAAATCTCTAGCCTCTAAAATGGCTAATCTCGTCTTGTCCAATGTGACCGATACCCTGAATTTCATCCAAGGCTTAGTTAAACAGGAAACTGGGACATCATTAGAGAGGCCACTGGCTGAATGTGCGGAGTTGTACATACCAGTTGTCAAGTACAATCTTCCTCAAGCCATTGATGCTTTGATTAGAGGAAGGTATGGATTTGCCAATTATGTTTTTTCTGATGTTTCCAAACAAGCTGATGCTTGTGAAAAACACTTCTCGGGTGAGAATGAATCACCATTGACTGAGAGGAATAAACTTATCAGCAATCTTTCTGATGTCGCGGTAGCCATTATCAATATATTGCAGAAGGGTTTCTGATTATGTTCTGCCTTCTTATTGTGGTTACTAGATAGTGTCTGTTTTCGTATGTAGCAGTTCTCTTCATTGCTGGACTAAATTAGTGAGAGTCCTTCAGGTCTGTATCTAAGTTTTTGTACTTGAAGCAGCAGTTCAGTTTGAACCAGTGAAGTATTGGCATCTTTAATCTTTTATTATTATTTTCTTCTGCCATATAAGCTTCTTTTTTGGGTCTGTTCTGTTTTGGAGTTGGATGCCTAGTGTTAAAAGAGGGTTTTGCGTTAACTCGAGGCTGGTTTTTTTCACCGCTCCAAGAAATAAACCCAACTCCAATTGACCAAAGCTTCTGGAAAGGGTACGGATATTTGAACTTCCAAGTAGTTAAGCGAGTTAGCGACAAAAGTTAATTCACAAGACAGATTCAGAGACTATCAGTTTGCTGCAATCTTGCGGTGATGTTATAGGATCTCCAAGTGCAGCATAGAGTTGTACGGGAGCTCCTTGTGATTCTGATGGACAGAGTTCAAGTGATAATTTTGTTTGTTTTTGGAGGCATAACATAAGCCCAGGTTTCTGTTAAAGCCACAGCCTACTTCACTGTTGAACTTGCTGCTATACAATTGAAAAAACAATAGCACTTTGTGATTGATGTTTCCTGCCAATCTTATGGGCGGGATAATTAGTTTGGACCAAAAGGAATTGGACAGGCCACAAATTCAATATGACAATAAATGAGACAATTATGGGCCTATTAAAACCAGTCTACAGGCCCAAACCAGAGAAGGGGAAAGAGCGAAAGAAAATCCACGGATTGAGATTTTTTATATTCATTTTCTACTTATTATTATTCATTGAATAGTATATTTATATATTATTTATCAGATTTCAGACATCTATATTACATATTGCTTATCATAAGTTAGCTGCAATTAAAAAAGCCACGTATTCAATCAATATTTCATTGGATTAAATTTCCATCCCTAAGCAAATTTCAAGAAATGAAAAAGTTCATTCATGGTCTCTCAAGTATCTTATCCGATCAAATCAGCCCATTTATTTTTCTTTATCAAATTAAATCCTCTGTCTTCAATTTGCAGAAGACAAGAACCTCCGTCCTCTTAACTGCATGCACGTGGCAGCTATCTAATAAATGGATTGGACAGAATAGAATTAGAAGGATTCATTTGAATAAATGTTGAGGCTTGTGGGACATGCATAATTTTGTCCAAAAGTAAATACTAAACAGTGAGGGCGTGAGGAGAGCATGTAAAAGAGAGGGAGGAAGAAGAGAAAGAGGAAGTCCTCGCCTCGGCGGCAGGCTGATGAGGACCTCATCTTAGAAGGAACGTATATATTCAAAACTAAATAAAAATGAGGAGCCAACAACTACTTCCCGCCATGGTTATTATGAGAAATTGCTAGCAAGGTTTAATCTTTCAATTTATTGATGGTCTAATAAATACATAATATAAGGACAAATTCATACACCATCATGAAGGATGTATTCTTTTACACACGCATGATGTTTATTCTCTTCGCCCAGTACTTGATTTTCTGTTTCACATGAAGATGCGCGCTCTATTTACACCCATGATGTAATAAAATTATTATTAAAGAAAAAGAAGAAGAAGAACCAAACGGCTTCTGGGGTTTTAAATACCAAAATGTGCTCATGTGGCTGTCTATCTTCCTGTGTTCTTGTTCATTTTGCTGTTTTCCCAGCAACTTCTTCAACGATACCTCGCAATGAGAATAAAAAGATCTCGAAAGGCATGATGCATGGTGTGATTTGTAGTAATCCACAAGTTAAGATAAAACGTGATGTTGGTCGTTTTAAACCCATACGCTTTGCAGATATTGACTGCAGATCGAAAGCAAGCTAACACACGAGTCTGCTTATAGAAGAACAAGTCAAAAAAACTTCAGTTTTGTTTTTAATCGAAGACCAAGTCAAAAACCTTAGAAATCTTCACATCTCCAAATGATTTTGAAGGAAGAGGACAGCAGTCAGAAACCAACTGTAGTTTCACAAATTTGGCTTCCTTTGAAAATTGTTTTACTCTTTGTTTCTTTTATTTCAGTGCGTTGCTTCACAGCCTCTGAAGGCAACTTCTTTCATGATAAAATTAGGCTAGGGCATGTGATACCAGCGTTTTCTCCCTTCGGAAGTGAAAACTCAACCTCATCCTGAACTAGTACAGACATTTTCTGCCCTTGCTTCATTGAGAAACACTAGTGCAATTATTATATTCACAGTAACAAGCACATGTCATGAAACTCGATTTCGTAACAGAAAGAGAAGCCCAACTCCCTATTAAAAATCACCACACCACGGCACCGAGTCTAGCTATTTGCATTCCGGCAGAGATGAAACATCCAATCTCTTTATCGTCCGTTTTACTTCTCCGTTGCCTCCTCCTTTTGTTTCTTGCACCACTAATCCAATGTGGTAATTTAATAAACAAAACTTGCAAGAAGACACCTGATTAAAATCTGTCTCATCTCTACAATCAAATCCTAAAAGTTTGAATGCAGATGTTCAAGGTCTAGCTGACATAATGGCAAAAATCACTTTGTCAAATGCAACTGACACGCTAGGTTACATTCCTAAACTAGTCAACCAAACCGAAGATCCCAAGCTGGAACAATCCTTAGCTTACTGTGCTGAAGTGTACATACCAGTTGTGCAGTACATTCTTCCCCAGGCTATCGATGCCTTGAATAAGGGTGGCTATGGATTTGCCTAGTATGGGATGTTGGATGCTGCCGATGAAGTTGATTCGTGCACAGGGTCGAAGAAATCACCACTAGCTGGTAGGAAATAACTCGTGCTGGGACTTATGTGGTGTAACTGTGGCCATCATCAACATATTGCTGAAGAAATGAATATCTGATCTAAAATCTCCTTTTTATCTACATCCCTTAGAGCTGCTGCTGCTTTTGATTAACCAAATTTCTTCTTCCATAAATCATACAACATCATATCCACGTTGTCTTTTGCAAGAACTAGGTATGGAGCGTAAATAGTTTCCTTAAATGAAATCTTCGAACACTAGCTGGTGCTAGGAGATACCAACAACACCAATTGAAAAATAAAAACAAAACAAAGCAAAGCCAAAAAAACTAGTAAGGCTAAGTTCTAGAAAAAGAGATGAAAGAAATCCATTGATTTCGAACACCAATCCATGAAGTAGAAGAAAGATACCGTGCTGACAACAACAAATCTAAAGAGAATACCAGGTCTTTTCATTGCAATTTAATTTAAACATAAACATATTCCATGTTATACTTTACAGATAATAGGCTACCATCAACAGTCATTTCACCTCTCTAATACCTAAAACATTGGGATCCATATACATTGCTGCTTCATATTTAGGCACCCCTGCCCATTCCATCCCATTTTGTTCATCAAATAAAAAAAATGGTTTGTAGAACAAGATACGAGATTCATTTAAATCTAGCAAATCAATTCACAAACAAACCTGCCTTTGTTTTCATTATGGAGAATTATACAGTAAGGCGGCTGTAAAGAGGGAACTTATCATAAGCGGCTCACAACCTAAAAGGCCACAGCACTAAACTGTTTTCCCCCAAAAATCCACCAGTACACTTTTTCGGTAATCTAACTCATTCCAAACACTATGCATGTAAGGGATAAATTACCCAACAAACTTCGATCTTGGAGGGATATTGGTACAAAAAGTGCAAGTATATGGCTTGCATGAGAAGTGCGAGAAAGCAGGTAAATTTCTTTGAACAACACAAGCTTGATTACAGTAACTGCCTTCTTTTCCCCACTCATCTCACAGTTCTTGGATTTTTGGGAGGATCTGAGCCAGCAATTGTTTCTATGAAGCTGCAATGCATCAACAAATAAACAGATTAGTTGTAGTAGACCATAACATAATAATAACACCTGATATGACCAAAGCAGAAAGTACAAGTACTTAAAGTGCAAGATATAACAGGGGAAATGTGATCCATGACATACTTCGGATATCCAGACCCAGGTCCATTAGACTCGCTTGCAGATGGATTCCCAAAGTATTGAACTGAAATTAAACCATCACCAGCTGTCTCTGATGACTCAGGAGATCCCATTGAGCTTGCAGATGTAGCTCTGGATGACATTCCTGCAAAATGAATTGCATGAAACTACTAACATAAGTTAGCAAAAAGAAAGAAAATGCTTATAGAAAAATGCCAGCAGTGATTTCTGTAATGGAATGACCTCTTGTAAAAAATTATTAAGTAATATGACCAATGAGTTTCCAAAAATGAATTGCAATCTGCAATGGCACCCAGGGAAAATTATCATTTTACAAGCAAGGAAAGCACAAATAAAAAGATCATAAAACAAATAATGAAACAGGAGAAGAAGGGTAGAGAGAGAGAGTGATAGAAAGCCTGAAACAAAATCATCTTTCCCAAATGCCCCCAAACAATTAAGGATGTCTGAAAAATTAGAGAAAGCAGGAAAAAGAAAATAGATGGACAACACTAGAACATGATTCAATGTCATTTTGAAAACTCTAACCCGGATACATGTAGCCAACATTATACACACAGAGCAAGACTCAGAAAACCATTTCAGCATAGGATACAGTATATTAGAATCAAAATTCAGAAGCCCACCCTCCTTTCGCAAATAAACATCTATATACAAGGAAACTACATGATGGGAGCTGTAACACAAATAGCAGATGCTGAAAATGGACAAAGGGGGGAAAGTTCACACATTCCAGCTCAAAGAAGTCAAATGTAACTTTTGAATGGTTGGGAAATTCAAACATAAAGAAAAACTCTACAGTCCAAATCAAAGGCATGTATTAAAGCATAAGTTATCCCCATAACATTTGTATCCAAACCACTGGCTTGAACCAAGTATGGGTTAAAGATTAAGGCAGTAAAACTTGCACAAGCATTACCTTGAAAGAGAATCACAAGGCAGAATAGAATGGTGAACACCATGGCAAATAAATTGTTATTGGATGATGGCTTTGTAGCTTTTAATTTCTTCAAAGCCTTCATCCGCTCAATCCTTGCACGCTTCAACATGGCTAGTTCAGAAATCTCCTTGATCAGCTTCTGGTCAGCAGCATCCAGTGATGGACCTCGTGGAGGCCTAGGAGGCTTTTTATTGCTCGTTTTTTTATGCTTCTCCTTTACCATTTTCTTCTCTACTTTATCAACAGATATTTCACCCTCCAGCTTCGCGTGGTCTGCAGAACCACCAGCAGTGTCTGACACGTGGCCACACAAATTTACCCTCTCTTCACCATTGGCTGTCCCATCGGCGAATGCTCCACAAACCTTAGCAAGCAACGGCTTTGTTGGTGTTTTTACCCCTGAACCTGCATCTTTACATGAATCTTCAACACTATTTCTCACCCCACTTTCAAGATCAACCTCAAAATCTCTATCTCTTGGAGCCATTTGATCTATTTCCAGCAACCAACGCCAGTCTGATGTCTTCAATCTCTCACTCTAAACAATTAAAGCCCAAAATAGATTCACAAGAGCAAGACCGCTAAAAGAAATTAAACCTCAAAGCCAACCCATCATACAAAATTAACCTTTTTTTACATGATAAAGTACAGAGCACTGCGAGCATTGACGATAAACATATCCAACTTCATCAAGTAAACAACACTTTCCAGTCATAACTCGCAAATGAAGACATACAGAGTCCACAGTAATAGCAAACTAACTTGCCCTTTTCACTAATAAAGCCTCAACCCTCGACTCCTTCCGAAACCCAGGCTGTCAATCTCAAAATTAATCACAAAAACTAACAAAACCCTGCGTTTTGAATAATGGAATAAAAAGTTAGCCACACTCCATGATCCGTAAAGGGCCCAAAATTAGAGTTTGTGCTTCAATCTGCAGAGGGTACATAATTGGAAAAACAGAAGGCAAAACAAATAACATGACTTTAACATTCCTTCACACAACAGGCAGATACAAAAACACCCATAAGAAAAGCTTAAAACTTGATAATAAATCAAAGAACCCATTAAGCGTTGAAAATAAAGCAAGGCAGGCACAAATCAAACCCACAAAGCAAAACCACAAGAAAACAATGCATTACAAATTACAGGATCAAATACACAAATCCAAAGTACCCCATTATTTTTTTTTTAATAAAACCCTAAAAAGAGCAGGGGAAGAAAAACGAAAAAGAAAAGGAGTGGATAAGTACCTTGTAGAGAAAGAGAGAGAACCCCAGATCCGAAGCAGACAAAGGCAGTCAAAATGGGCTATCTCTCTCTCTCTCTTTCTCTCAATGTTAGAAAATAAAAATAAAAGCAACAGATAGCCATCTACTAAATATAAAGAAAATAGACAGAAAGGATGAGAAGGAAGCGAGATACAAGGGAAGGACACGGTGGGTTTCAGCAAGAATAAAAAGACGATTCCGGTCGTTGCGAAACTTAAATTGTTGAATCCTTAATATTAATTAAAGAAAAAAAAGAAAAAAATTAATTATTTCCTTGTTTCTTATGAAAACCAGGTGACGTGATTGTCTTGGAATTTTCATCGACACTTGGCTGTGTTTTTCCCTTTTATTTACAATTTCAGTTTTATGCCCCACAACTTATAAATTTTGTGTGTTTTTATTGACAATTAAATTTGCATGCATCATGTACACATGCCTATATATGGTATGTTAACACTTTGTAGTTATGATATGTTCAGGTTTAGGAAATAATAAGATAAAGTTTATAATACATTACTTATATTAGTTCTCAATATTAGTTTCATTAGTTCTTAATCATTTCAGAAAATAATATTCATAGAATAATTTTAAATAATGATATGCTTTTTATTTGAATCGATTCGTCAAAATATTTTATTAATATTTACAATAAGATAAGATAAAGTTTTTTTCCAGAATTTTAGTAAATGCAAAGATTAACATCTGCCAAGAGTATTGAAATGAAATCTCTGCTGCTTTTTTGTTTTTTATAAGCAAAAGCTTGCAAGAATTCGTCAAGGAATGCAGAAAACCAAAACTAACGTGTAGAAATATTTCTTAATTTAAAAGTTAACTATGCAATATTTTACTGATTTTCCTTTTAAATACTTTAGAAAATACCTTAAATAAGTCAAAAGCTTGGTTAATCAGCTAATCAGTTGGTTAATCCGCTCAAGACCAAAGAAACGAGATAAGGGTATTTTCTGAAAAATACTTTCAAGAAACATAAACAATATTTCTCTGTAGAATATTTTAATAAAAAACAAACATATCCTAATCAAACCTTCTAGATGCAATTAAATATTTTTGTCTTGGGAGAGTTCTAATGCTGTTACAGATGTTAAACGGTATCGTCCTTCTATGTTTGTCAAGGAAAACGAAATATTCTATTTACTTTTAGATCACAATTTTTAAAAGTATATTAGCCCCAGACAAACGTGACCTATATATGTGTGCTGGTTAGAAAATCGTTTCACCTGTCTTGGATAATTTCAATTAAACACAAAATGACTGCGTAACAGATTAATAATTTAAGTTATTAAATAAAATTTTAGGATACAATTTATATAATTTTTTAAATGAAAGTTTTTTAATTTAAAATTTACAAAAATCTATTTTATCTTGTGTTTTAATTTTTATTAAATAAATAAAAATAATAAAATTTAAATTTATGTCTACTCGATTATTAAAACTATGATATTATATCAAATAATTATATTAACTAAATTGTAAAATATAAAATATAATTTATATTATTTTTTAATATATTTTATAGTATTAATTTGATTATTTTTAAAAATAATTAGAGAACCACCACGCCAAGAAAAAATTATTAAATCCTATAAAATGCATAATGGATACAATTTATATAATTTTTTAAATGAAAGTTTTTTAATTTAAAATTTACAAAAATCTATTTTATCTTGTGTTTTAATTTTTATTAAATAAATAAAAATAATAAAATTTAAATTCATGACCACTCAATAACCAAAACTATAATATCATATCAAATAATTATATCAACTAAATAATTTAAACTATTAAATAAAATATAAAATATAATTCATATTATTTTTTAATATATTTTATAGTATTAATTTGATTATTTTTAAAAATAATTAGAGAACCACCACGCCAAGAAAAAATTATTAAATCCTATAAAATGTTAAGATTTCTCCTGAATCTTGATGCAAGCTGGCATAAAGACACGTGTTCGAGATAACTCGTTAGTGGGAAGAGGATGGTAAATTTTTTTAGTTACATCGCAGTGATTAGATTTTTTATGTATATACTAAGCTCATGTAATAGATTTTTTTTTTTTAAGGATGGAAAACCCAACCCTCTTATAAAATATAATTCATATTATTTTTTAATATATTTTATAGTATTAATTTGATTATTTTTAAAAATAATTAGAGAACCACCACGCCAAGAAAAAATTATTAAATCCTATAAAATGTTAAGATTTCTCCTGAATCCTGATGCAAGCTGGCACAAAGACACGTATTCGAGATAACTAATTAGTGGGAAGAGGATGGTAATTTTTTTTTAGTTACATCGCAGTGATTAGATTTTTTATGTATATACTAAGCTCATGTAATATATATATATATATATTTTTTAAGGATGGAAAACCCAACCCTCTTTCAAAATAAGACCATTATATTTCTTATTTAGTTATAATATAGATACTCAAGTTCCAGTGAAGCTAGGTGTTGTTTTCGCTGCTGCAAAAATGTTAAACGCTTTAAACCAAAACCACTAGATAATTCCAGTGTATCTAAGCAGTTCGGGTTCTTCCGAGATGGTTTCGGAAAACTGAAAGTGTTTTTATTTGGAATTCCTACTAATTAAACGGTGATCCTCGTGGCCTCACCATTTCCTGCGTGAAAGCCGTCCGGATTCCAGCTTCTCCTTGTCTTGTGGGAATCCTGACGCCGTGGATGCCGGTAAACGGTGTTGTCATTTTCAAGGAAATGAAAAGGGCACCAAAATAAAATGACCCTTGGATTTCCTGATTAGAACGCTGATGAAATCGTGAATAATTTTTTTATATATATTTTAATATGTTAATATTAAAAATAATTTTTTAAAAATATTATTTTAATATATTTTCAAATAAAAAAATTGAAAATATATTAATACTATTTAAACGAGTGTGAAGATTCTGTTTATCGTGGATGCAAGTATCATAGAAGTGCAGTGTGTGAAGATTCTGTTTTATCGTGGATGCAAGTATCATAGAAGTGGTTGATATTTGTTTTTTTTGTTAGGCAATTGAACTGAAGACATTCATTCTATAACAATAATGTTCGGAGTTCTTTTTTGCATAATGTCTAGAACAAACCAAGTTTAAAACGTGAAGAATAGCAAATCGGTAAAAGACAGCTAGCGTAGTTCCACCGTCGCTGGATCAGAAGGGGACAGGTCAATGTAGCAAGAACGAAAGGTGTCCGATTCTCCTTATAAAAGGGGCTTTTAAGCATGGAGATTAAGTCCAGATTCCTGCGCTTAGAAGGATATATGTGTGGTGGGCCCAAATCAACAACCCCCGCCCCGCTGCGAGAAAATAATGCAGTCTAAAGTCTAAACACATCATCATCTGTATTTAATTGACAACGTTTGGTTGTTTTGTAGGTGGGGAGCTTTCTCGGACACTCCCATCTCGATATCAATGTTTCGAGGGTTTTTTATTTTTTTTTTTAAATCCTGGTATCTGAAAATATGCTAAATACCAACTAATTCAATCGAGGAAGGTTGACCTATTAGGAAGTAAAATTTTCCCAACAATAATATATTTCGTTTAATTAACTACTGGGTATTTTGAGGAGGTTTGTTATATAGTAGTACACTGCACTATGTTCGGCTCTTTTTACCTGTAAGAGGAACATGATTCCCAGGTCCTACCACTCGGGGTTATTCATGCATCCATCTTTTGGGACGACTAAAAAGGATTGGCTAACAAGAGTGCCAGGCGGGACTCCCAAGATACTGCCAGGTTTACCACTTTCAATTGCTTTCCGAGGCTGGAGGATGCGATGATGATGATGATGAAGTCAACTGATGAAGCTAGTAATTAGCACTGTATCACGTAGTTTCAAATTTAATCCTCCATTTACGTATATGACAGAATTGAAGATTGGAAATGCGACCACATTTCACGGCTCGTGTTAAATACATCTCTTTCAGTAAATTAAATCTCAAGAAGCCACACATCCAGACTGAGGTGTTCAGATCAGGAAAAACTAAACGAGAAACTTGTTTTTCATTACCTCCTTAAATCCAAACCTAATACAAATACATGGCCCACCCCCGACAAAGTTTCGAGGCAAGAACTCGTCCAGATCCTCCTTGGCCCATTACAAGATAGAGCATGTAAGGTGGACCAATTCTACTGGTCCTGCAGCCCATTAGGGCACAGCACGATTTACTTTGATTTGATGCCATTCAATCAGCGGCCACCACATTGATCAGGAAAATCTCCCACACCCACAATCCCGGGAAACAAACAAATAAACTCCCGAACTGATTTTTGGAGCATGCATGATTCATAAATTCAAATTTTACTTTCTCGCATTTGTTAATCAACCTACCTTGTATGATTAAAAGTATTGGATAACTAATTGTCCATGATTTGTAACTGTTTGTGCATTCCATTTTGGAGTATCAAAATGTAAAACTTATTAATTTTGATACAGAAGAAGATATTTCTTAAAAAAGGATTATTGGTTTTAAATAAATAAAATAAATTTTAAAAAATAAGCAACGAGATTTAATAAAATTTATAAATAGTGGATTTGAATTGACACAACGAATGGTGCAATAATCTGAGCATATCAAGTAAAATTTTAAATAATATAGAATACAAGGATACCGTTTCGTTTTACCAGTTCAGAATCTTATTGACACTTTATATACAAGGTTTTATATCCCCAAGCAGCAGGCCCTATAAAATATTGTATCAGGAACGTGATTACCACAAGAAAGCTTCATTTTTTGTTCGTTCGTTAGATAATTCATTTGTTTTGACATAAATAAAGCTAGAAAAAATGGACTCCTCGCTTTTATTTCCGAAAAGAAAACAAGCAGACAGGCATATGACCGGTTCTGGAAGATCTATCTTTCAATGAGGAGAAAGCGTTGTTAGAACTTGAAAATAGCAGCACCACTTGAAGGCTTTGAAGCAAAAACATAGAGGCCAAGATCATTCTTGCTGATTACTCCCTTGTCAATTCTTGATCGATAGAACTTTTCCTGATGATAGTACAGGGAACTTGCTGTAGTCCTACAATTAATGAAATGGAATTTTCCGCGTAAAAGAACGTCAAAATACCTTCAAATTGAGGATGAACTGAGGGACAGCAGCCTCTTTCACCAAAGCAACCGCACAGCCACCCCATCCAGCTCCTGTAAGTCTAGCCCCCAAAGCATCATTATCCCGGCAAATCTTTACAAGTTCTTCCAACTCGGGGCAGCTAGATGCATGAAACAAAAGAAATAACTACAATAAGCATAACAGACAAGGCAATGCGCCATGCGAGGTTTATGATAGCTCGGTCCATCAGAGTCATTGTATAGACAGGTTCTTGAAAATATACTTCAAGCATTTGTACCTGCATTCATATAGAACGCTGCAGCTGTAGTGACTCTCGTTCATGAGCTCACCGAGCTTCTTTAGCTTGTCCTCATCACTGCAAAACAAGGTATTTGGGAATTAATACTTCGAAGGTTGGATGTAGTTGCTTCCCAAACAGCTTCTCTGACTGTATTTTTTCGCAGAAGAGACTATAATACAATTGCAAAACTGCTTTCCCCAAACCCCAACGCGGGAAAGGTTCGAAAGCATGTTTAATGAAAATGAAGATGATCTGAGCACGTGAATGCATAAAGTAAAACACGTAAGTTGTAGTGGACAGACCCAACGGGTGAAGAGATGTGCTGTCAAAAATCTTTCAAAGAGGCAGTGAGAGGGAGAAAATAAACAAATAAAGGTAAATTCAATATATTCACTCCCAAAGTTTGACTTGACTGATTAGCCCTCAGACATCTCAGGATATTTAAGAGTGTAATAAAAACTCCCAGAAAAACTGAATTATTGTCTGAAAAAGTATAGAATTTAATTTTCTTCACATATGAAAAAAATAACATGCCTCAATTATGTGAGAACATATGTTCATTTAATAAAACATATGATTTCACATAAAATTTCTTGAGGAATACATAAGCATTCTCTTCCAAGCATATGCAGTAAACTCAGTGAGCACCTTAAATCTGATGACACAGCATCCTTGAAAGCATGGACTCGCTTTGCTTCAGAATAAACATGAGCAGCCCTCTGGAAAAACAACGCAAATTATGACTTCCTAAACAATTGGAATAAAAAAAAGACACTAAGCAGAGGGCTTCAAAAAAATAACAACCGGTGATGTAGGGTTGTTGCAATGAAGGGTACAAAAAAGTAGTTGTTTGAACATTATCAGGCTTAATGGATTAAGTCTAAATATTAGCTATCAAAACATGATATAAAGATAATACATTGCAATATGGAACTGTACATCAAGACGCCATGCAGAAAATTATTGCCGATTTTCTAGAAAAAAAAATCAGAAATTTCAACGATAAAAGACATGAGCAAGAAGTATCCATTAATATTGCATCATAAACTCAGATACACCTACGGACTGTGAGCAATAAATGAGTGCAGAAACCATGGCAGCGAGTAGAGAATAGTACATGATGTAACTTGAAGTGCTTGGCTGCTTTTAGAACATCCAAAGAAGATGGGGAATTTTCGAAGATTGATTGAAGACTTTCCCCGGTAATTGCCTCAATTTCTTCAGTCGTATATGGTTCATCTTTCAAAAGTTCCTGTAGCAAAGATAATATTGATAATTGGTACACTAGTGACAAAACAATTACAAAGAACTTACAATGTAAAGCTAAAATATATGTGCGCCAAAACAGAATCATGGTCATAACAAATCATTTAATTCGTTTAAGTAAAATAAATTGGTGCAGTGACAGTAGATCAATTAGCAATAGATACCTTAACAGCAATGACAGGATCTGAAGAGCCACGGCTATTAGCGAATGACACACACAATCCCTCAACATCGGAAAGAGTTTTGACATTTGATATTGCATCTTGTTGTTTCATTCCTAACTTTATGCCAAGTACGATCTGAAAAAGGTATTCCAAAATCAGTAATATAAGCATGACAATGCCTCCAATAGAAGAGAAATTCAGAAGATACGCATTTTTAACTTGTAACGCAGTCCCCTTTTTAATTAAGGCACCAAGCAGCAGGTGGAGAGCAGAGGACTGTTTCCCTTCTCCACAGCTCAATTCATTTTCTAAAACAGTAATGACACTTCAGCATAGATTCTGATACTAAAACTGCAAGTTCACACTTCCAAGTTAGCTTGAAGGTATGTTGCGACTTTTAAGATCAGATGCAAATACCAATGAATGGCGCAATTCAAAATGGATACTCCCACTGGGCAGTAAAAATGGTCCACTTTTTTACTTTTTCTTGTCCCAAAAAGTTGGTCCCTGACAAAAAGTCGATGAATAATTGCATCTTAAACATACATCGTATCCCTTAACATGTCAAATATTACAATGCATCAAAGGGTGTGCATCTATTAAAGTTAGGGGCAAATTTGACACTCTAGAACACTTGACTGCATTTTAAATGATTTCCTACGACAATGCGCAAAACTCAAAATGCAGTACAAGAATACAAGAGTTGGAACATATTTAGGAATATGAAAGCAGAACCAGTATATGAAAATAGCGCTTACAGAAGCGAGTCGACATTCAACTACTCTGTTGTTGTAATTAGTAGCAGCAGTGACTGCCTTCTGAGATTCAGCCAAAGAATGTGCAATCACGAAAGTTCCACCAGCAGGAAGTTGCACGTCAGTTGCCCGAATGGGGTTGAAATCAATAAGCTCTGCAAATCCAGTTTTGGCCATGACAGAGATTGCCTGCCAAGTAAAACATGATTTATTATGTTCGATGTCCCTGAAAGTCAGTTTCCCAGCTCTGTTTGGATCCTCCTCACTCTCAATTGATTTTTATGTTCTGTTCTAAAGCAATAACAGATTCAATTTTCTGACATCATGATGTGTTTCTATCCCAAACAGAGAAGCAGAATAGCAAACAAAACATTGGAAGACCTTGTACACTGGATTTGTCCATGAGTAAAAGCAACGGTTGTCTCAGACTCAGGAGGATGCATTTCAAACATTCTTTCGAGTATATTTTTTCAAGAATTTAAACAAGCTCACGAGGATGAAGTATAACCTGGTCCATTCCTCCAGATTGTGTTCCAATGTGCCTTTCACACTCACATGTTAGCTGGGCAATTTCTTTCTGTTAAAGAGGGTAACGTCGATAGAATTCAGATAGAAAAAAGAAAGAAACAGGATATAACGATAAATAAACATTGACAAATCCATTTTGTTAGTTTTCCATCAAGTAGATCATATGGTTAACAAGCAAATATAGAGTAGCGTCAGTATAAGTAACGAATGAAATTCGTGCTCTCGTGAACCAAAGGCACACCAATCCTCAAGATAATGCAACATTTACAATCCATACGCACATTAAGGTCAGAATTGTTGGAATAATTTGATTTTACCTGGTACGAACTAGCTGACAAGAAAAATAACATGGAAATTTCTTACGAAACTTGTATGGTAAATGAGAACAATTTGTGTTCTCAGGAACCAAAGGCCTATTCATCATCAACACAAAGAACAACAAAATATATAGTCCATATGCACATTAAGGCCAGAATTGTTGGTCTAATTTGATTTGCCAGGCATGAACTGGTTGGCAAGAAAAAAATAATACATGTCAATTCATAATAGACACGCATGCACAGCTGAAAAAGATATTGATATCCCATGACAAAAAAGAAAAAAGAAAACCCAAAGATGTCAAGGAAACATATAAACAGTGAATGAAAAGAAGCATATTGTAACCAGAGTGCTATGAGCATGACGGCAGATAGCAACCAGTGTATGTTCTAATGTACAGATCAGAAATACAAGCATGTTATTTTCTCACAATAATATTATTTTACTGATGTAGTAGGATAGAAACGTATCAATCTCTTCCAAGAAAAAAGTGTTGATAACACCAGCGAAATCTGAAAAAGTAACAAATTCAAAACTTTGACAGTATAGCAAGGCTTTCTGGATGCTTAATACTGAAGAAGTGCTTTCTAGTTCTAGCCGTAAGATTAAATCACGCCCTTAAAACAACTTTGAGGTGGTCGAGGTATTATATAATTTTGGTGAAAGAACTGTTTTACCTTTGGAAAGTTCACATCAAAAGCAGCCATAATAGCAATGGTAGCAGAGCAAACAAACGCAGCAGAGCTGGACAAGCCAGAACCTGTATTAAAAAACTCCAGGTTAGTCTTCTCTTATAATGAGCAGGCGATGTCATTTCATTAGCAACAGCTAACTAAAATCAACTTCTAATTCATTCACCTGTTGGAACAGTTCCATCAACAATAACATCAAGTCCAACCGCGTCACCCATATCCACTCCTTTTGATTTCGCATATTCATAAAAACCCTTATACCTGGAAATCCACAAAAAAGATTGAAAAAAAAAGGTGGGGAAACCACAAAATGCTTCAGAACTAATCAATTAAAATAGCTGTTCTGTATCATACCCACAAATGAAATAATGACCCCATTTATGATTCTTCAAGTCAATTGCCTGCAAATTATTACAGAATATAACAATCAATCCAACGGGAAAACAATGAATAAATTACTATTGAAGAAGTTGGAGGTTGGTTCAGACCTGGTTAGGATCAACAGGATAAGTACACTCTGTATATTTGTCATTAACATTTGCGATTCGAAGAACTTTTTGTGCATGATTTTTACGGATTGCTATAATAGTATCTTGCCTTATTGCCATTGGCAACACCGAGTAGCCTTCATAATCAATATGCTCTCCAATCAAATTCACTCTCCCTGCAAAAACACGAAATTAAAAAAAAAAATTGCGTATTATTGTTAACAGAACCAACAAATCTTCTTAAATCGATCAAATAAACCTAACTGGAATAACTTTCAGAAATTTAACTTTCTTTCCTGTCCATTCGTTTTCCAGCGAACCAAACAGATAGAATGATATATATATATATATTACATCGAGTGGAAGCGTGTGATATTCTGAACTGAAGAAACCGGTTCAAATAAATGAGGTGTGTATCTATCTGTTAATCTTATCGAGTATTACTAACATCAAGTCTTTATTTGTTTTCGTCAAAGTTTTGACTTTTCCTTCATGTTCTCGGGAACCAAACAGAAGGTTGATGAGAGAGGGAGGGAGGGAGTTATTTTCTTAACCTGGAGAACGAGCAAAGACATCAGGAGGGTGACCAAAAACTTGAAGAAACTTGGAGTTCAAGTGATCAAAACGGAGTTTAGCTTCTTCAAGCTGAGATCCGTCTCCGTAAACAGCCTCTAGAGATGAGAAACATGGGATTGGCGTCTCCTCATGCTTCGCCATTTCACTGATGATTTGATTTGACTTGACTTGATTATCAGGTGTAGCTTTTCTATGTAGCGATGGTGTTTTTTCCGTGCTAGAAAAGGGGGAGTCTAAATTTTAATTAAAAAGGAGATGATAATAACAATACCAATAGAAAGGGAAGATGATTCTTCGTTTTCTAATTACTTAGCTTCTTCTTATCTACTACTGCCTGTTGAATAACTTAATTAATAAAATCACCCTTACCATCATCGCCTTCCTTATGGATAGGATTATCCTGACTATTTAATCTAATTATCACGAGATCTTTTGCCACATTAAGACCGAGATTATTGTTAAAACATACCTAGATTAGCTGGATCGCATTTTATCTCGTAGACTCTGCATGTTTAAGATTTATGCTTGAGTGATAATTCAATTTAATTTTTATTAAATATTTACTTTTAAAATAATAATAACAATAATAAAAAGTATGCTTCATTATTCTATTAATTTTATTGCTAATATTTAAAAAAATATAAAAAATTGATATGAAAATAAAAAATATATAAAAATAAAATTTAATATTAATTAGTAAATAATAAACAATCTATATCTTAATTTGATGTCGAGATAATAGTTTTTTTTTAAATTATTTTTTATTTAAAAAGTAATGTATCTTAATTTGATGTCGAGATAACAATTTAGAAATATAAAATAATAAAATAAAATTTTAATTTTTATTTTTAAAATTTATTTCTAATATCAACGTATCAAAACAATTTAGAAATATAAAATAATAAAATAAAATTTTAATTTTTTTAAAAATATTTAATCATGAAAAAAAAGCATACACAACGAATCATTTCTAAATCCCGCTAACAAACTTTAAAAGTTGTTTACTTTGGATTTCTGCATGTTAATTTTCAGATTGAATGTAATTATTTTTATAAATATATATTGTTATAAAAAATAAATTTGAAAAAATATTATAAAAAGCAAACTCAGATGATTAATTTATTAAATAAAGCTAATCATGAGTGCTAGTCGACAAGGATTACGAAGGCAGAAAGTGACAGATTCCAACACTATCACGAGATACATGTCCACATGACCACATGATCCGTTTGTCACTTTCTCTTCTTCGGGGGAGAGCTTTCCCAGGGAATGATGACACGAGTCATTAAACTTGATGATGAACATCTGTCTGCTAGTTGGTGGCTCTTCATCAGATTCTCTCCTTCACTACGTGGAATGAAAATCATGAAGCCACCGCTTCTACGCTGCCAGCACAGCACGATGGGAAGGAAAACACCCATTATTATTCTCATATAAATCCGAGGAATCAATATCCTCTACAAGTAAAATGTCCTTGGATTGAAAGGTGTAGGAGAGTTTAATACTCTTATTTACACCCATTATTATTCTCCTTAATGATTAGCTTAATCCTTCTAAATATAAACAATTATTCCAGAGTGTTCATCATCCTTGGATTATTCACTGGTAGGGGAAGACTTTGATCATGCACATTCATGGAAATATGATGAGAGGGAAAAGGAAGAAGGGTGTAAATAAGAATGTTCAGCAATTTGTGTAGCAGTAGAGGATAGCAAATAAAAATGGATACCCTTTTTTATTAAAAGCCAAACTGGAAAAGATAGCGAATCTGTAGACAAAGTTGACTGCGACAAGAAAGGGCAAACTTTCTAATTTTGACTCGGCGCCGGAATCCTCGTACTGTTAGTTTCTGCGACACCTGTAATTTTTTAAGTTTCTTGAGAACTAGTTGTAGCACCCACAGCAGATGAACTAGAACTATCTGCATTCAATAATCGATCTTCCACCACACTGTCTTCCACTCTCTTTGATGTCCCCCCCTGTAAGTATTCGTAGATTACAACACTGCGAGGAAATTTATGATGTTAAAAGAGTAATACAATTAGTAGTATTTTATTAATTATTTTTTTGCCCCATAAAATTTAATGAAATAAAAAAATTATAGTGATTAGAGATTAACAAGTGATATCTTATTAATTATATATTAAAAAAACTCATTATCCATTAAAAATAATAAAAATATTTTCATCTGGTATTTTCTCTTTTTTAGTTATATCTATTTTTTTAAATAGAAACATATATTTTCCTATCATTGATACTTCAATTTTGTGGATAAATTTAGAAGCACCTCGTGTATCCACATCCACTTGAACATCATTAAAGCCAACCTATATAAGAAAAGTTGGTTTCCACTCCCTTTCCAAATACAGTATCAATGTTCAATCTTCAGCCCCTCATTAATTACTTGCGCAATTATGATTCTAATTTCTAGATGAAATGACAAAAGAGCACGGGTAGTAGGGGTTATTTTAATTAAATGAAATAACAATAACATGGACAGAAGAATCTGAGATTTTCAGTGGCAAATGAAAAGAAAGAAATACTAAGAGAAAAGGGATATTGAAAACACTTCACGTTTCAATTAAAGGCCACAAAGTTTTTTCTAAAAAAAACGATGGGTTTTGAACTGTAACGCGAAAAATAAGTATTTTACACGAAGAGAAGGCATTTGAAGAATAGAAGGATGCGATTTTTGTGCGAAAATTAAGGTGCGGTACCGGATAGTATGGTATTCATGATCTCACAACACCTAAAACAAACTGCTAAGCGTGATTCTATCCGTCGTTATCACGCCAGGATTATACCTATCCGTTTAATACATCATCTCTATAAATACCATACACTCTGCTCAGTCTTTTAACCTTCTTATCCAACAATATATCAATTACCGTAAGGGAGAGAGTTTAGATCTTGCTTAGAAAGAATGGAGGTTGATCTGTCACCAAAATTGTGCAAGAAGGTGTATGGAGGAGATGGTGGGTCTTATTATGCGTGGAGCCCAGCTGAGCTTGCCATGCTAAAAGAAGGGAACATAGGTGCAGCCAAGCTGGCCCTTGAAAAGAATGGTTTTGCTATTCCTCGTTACTCTGATTCTGCGAAGGTTGCCTATGTTCTTCAAGGTATTAATTAATTACTCTCTTCATTTTATTAAAAGATTGATTGAAATTGGTTTTGGGCTTCTGTCTGATATGATGCCTATTTAATCCACAAATCAATTATACGTAGTGAGCATATAATGGATGAGGATTTAAAAAAAAAAAGAAGTTTTAGTGAATATGTTTTATATTAGTACTGGTTTTGGTGCAAGATTTGTGCAAAGTTTTGGAAGATCTATTGATTTTTATAAACGCTCAAAAGAAGTACTTTTTTCTTGTTTAAAGGATATTGGGGTAATGATTCAATAAAAAGAATAAAAGAGAAGAATTTTACTGCGTGGTATGACCATTTTTTCGTTTTGCATTTTGTAGGGAATGGGGTAGCTGGTATTGTTCTTCCTGAGAAAGAAGAGAATGTAGTTGCCCTTAAGAAGGGTGATGCTATTGCTCTTCCTTTCGGTGTCGTTACATGGTGGTATAACAAAGAGGACACTGACCTTGTAGTTCTCTTCCTGGGTGACACCTCTACAGCCCACAAAACTGGTGAATTCACCGATTTCTTTTTGACTGGCTCCAATGGCATTTTCACTGGCTTCTCTTCTGAGTTCGTGAGCCGAGCATGGGATGTGGATGATAAGGCTGTGAAGACCCTAGTTGGAAACCAGACAGCCAAAGGCATTGTCAAGCTTGATGGATCCTTTAAGATGCCTGAACCCAAAAAGGGAAGTCGTGAGGGCTTTGTGTACAACTGTGAGGAAGCTCCACTAGATGTTGATATTAAGGATGGTGGAAAGGTTGTTCTTTTGAATACCAAGAACCTTCCTTTGGTTGCTGAGGTTGGGCTTGGTGCTGATCTTGTTAGACTGGATGGAAAAGCCATGTGCTCTCCTGGTTTTTCTTGTGACTCTGCTTTACAAGTGACATACATTGTCAGTGGTAGTGGCCGTGTTCAAGTTGTTGGGGTCGATGGCCGCAGGGTCTTGGAAACAACCGTCAAGGCAGGTCATTTGTTCATTGTTCCTAGGTTCTTTGTTGTTGCAAAGATTTGTGATCCAGATGGGATGTCATGGTTCTCCATCATCACCACTCCCAAGTAAGTTTTACTCAATCCTCTTCAATTCCATGCACTGTCACCTAAAGCTAATTGCATATTTGCCTACTGATAGATGAATACTGTATTTTAACGCTGACATAGTTGATTAAAAGAAGAAGAGAGAGCATAATTGTGTTTCTATGATAATTGCAGTCCTATATTCACTCATTTGGCTGGAAGGACTTCCGTGTGGAAGGCTCTATCTCCTCAAGTGCTAGAGGCATCTCTCAAAGTATCTCCTGATGATGAGCAGCTTTTCCGCTCCAAGAGAATGAATGAGGAAATTTTCTTCCCACCTCCAAAATGAGGAGGATGCATAGCTTCATTCTCTCACACGCTGTCGTGGCAATAAGAGTTTTGAAGAGTCCTTACGAATAACATAATCCCTTTCATTATCTCCACCGTTGGTGGATATCAGCAATTGTTTTCTTTAATTTTAATCATCTCTACCGCTACGCATTTTTAAATGCAAGAAATTGACATAAACGGCTGTTAAGACTTCTCTTGTGTTCTTATCATTTTGTGCTCTGGGTTTTTTTTTTTTTTCATCGATTATACTTCTTGCTAGCCCATATGTAACCCCTAAAAACAAAAGGTTCTGTAGCGAGTTATGAATCTAACAACCGAAACATGCGTGGTTTTTTATCAGCCTCTTTTTTTTTTTTCTTTCTTTCTCTCGCGTTGCCTTTCAGATGGAAATGAAAATTTCCAAACCTGGCATCAGTAGGATGAGGTGTAGCTAGCCATTGCTGCATCAGGCTCTGTGAATTCATTTTTACAACCGAAAGGACTGCAATGTAACTAACTCATGAAGCAGGAGTCATACCTTAGGTTATGCTTTCTCTTCTTGGCATGTTACTTCAGTTTCAGTACCCGAATTAAGAAAAATCTAAGGCTTCTTTTTTTTCTTTTCTGGCGTGTTCGCCCATCAAAATTATATAGGATGGAGGAAGAATTTTGTTAAAGAACCACACAATAAAAATATGTACAATAGCTATGATCTTATATATTAGATCGAATTTATGTCATCTGAATCATAATATAAAATGAAAGGCACTAATTTATAGCGTGAATTTAATTTCTAAAATTAAAATAATAAAACAAATACTAAATTAGCCACTAAGCATGCAATATTATAGCATGCCGATGAAGAAATCACTATGTATATCTTATTTTATTTTGTAGAAAACTATTTAATTTAATATTTTTTAAATAAAAAAGTACTTTCTTTTCTCTTTGACCGGTCAACGATGCAAATTCAGGTATAATTTAAGAATGAATTTTCCCAAAATTAATGATCATGAAATTACAAGGCACGGTATTAGTTCTTTGATCCTCTCTATAACTTTCCTCGTTCCGTTTTCTCTTCATATTCCTATCTTTTTAATTATTATTTTTATCGTCTAAACATTTTTTAATTTTTTGCAAATGAAAAGGAAGAATATGATTATACAAACAAAATTATCTTCCGAACACACATGTCCGGTTGTTTTTCAAGAAAGAGCAATCATTTGAAATATCAATCAGATCCACACTTTATGACTTAAATATTTTATATGGAAATTAGTGTGAAAAGCTTGTCTCCATCATTTTCCATGAAAGTAGTGATGGAGGGGGGAGAAAGAAAACTATTTTTTAAAGAAAAAACCCATTTGTCTCAATCATTTTCCAAGAAAGAGATGGAGAGGGGAAAAAGAAAATGACTTTTTAAAGAAAAAACTCATTAAATTTCCATACAAAATGAAGCAAGAGGTAAAATGTGGATCTCATGAACAAAAATATGCTTACTTGCACAAAGGATTTTTAGTAAATAAGATCAGAACTACCTTAGCAAGGGAAAGAATTCAAGGAGTTCTTTATTTAGAAAAACACAGCTCGGCTTCCTAGATTCGAAGGAACTGTGTTGTAGTTGATAGGATATTATAATTACAAATCTAGTGCAAATTCCTCACGTGAACCATCAGACAAGGGAAGAGGAATTCATGAATTTCTTTTGCAGTCAGATTACAAAGACTTGTACCATTAAGCTAGCGAGCAAAATCTAATGTATCCACGGCCAATTCGTTCATAAAGGCTCGTATCATTAAGCTTTCGAGCAAAATCTTTAGCAACAATAGCACAAACAGATATCTTGGTGGGCAGTCCGTGTAGGTTCCTATAAATCCAAGACATCTGCACAAGCAATATATTCATGCACTTCACGTTATATGAAACGCGTAACAAGTTGAAATGCTACAGAATTACCAACTCCTGTTTGGCAAAAGCCCATCTACTGCTTATGAAGATTAATGAGAACAGAAGGACAGACAGAAAAACCAGGGTGATGGACAAAACTGATCACCATTTCTTAAGCCTGTTATAAACAAGTTTGCGGTCAACAATGCAAATGCCTGATTCAAAACACGTGCGCATATGGGAAGTCAATTTTAGGGAAGAATACCCTTGGAGAACGTGAGACCTAGAAGTCCTATACAAAGTCTTACCATTGTGGTATCAAAACCATAGAACTAGAAAGAGAACCTGGCCACCTCTTCATCTTCATCCTCATCCTCATCCTGATCTATAACATCTTCTTCAGTAAACACCTCAAAATCATCATCTTCAATGTCCTCCTCATCTTCCTCATCCTCCTCATCGACCATGTTATTATGACGGGCTTTATCCTTTAAACCAGGACCATGCTATTATGACGGGCTTTATCCTTTAAACCAGTGCTCAAAACAACAGATTGTCCCCCTGAATTTTCCATGTCCTTCCTCAGCTTTTCCATGTTCTGTTTTTGCTGCTCTTCCTCCAAACGTTGCTTCTCTACCCGTCTCTTATCAAGATCAGCCCTGAGATCATCAAGATCCATTGGTTAGACAAATGAAAAGCGATAGCAGCGTATTGGTAGTTGACAGAAAAGAATTTATCATAACTATACTTATGGAGTTAAGGGCTAAAAGGCAATACTTATAAGTTTCCATGTACTCCTCGGCACTGGCTTCAATGGCCTTGAAGAAGGCATCCATTCCAGCTCCAGAAACAGCAGAGACCCCAACTGATCTCAAATTTTTATAGAATTCATCTAGCACTAGGGAGAGGCTTTGAGAAAAAGTAGACATGTATGAATCATCTGACCTCATTGCTCCTTGAAAGACTTCAAAATCTTCCATCCACTGGGCAAGTTATAACTCTCAGAACAAGGATATTAAAAATAAAAAGCAAAGATCATAACCTTAAATTATGTAAGAAAAATCAATAGTAGTGCTCATAAATAGAGAGCACTGATAAAAAAAAAAATCAAGAGAATGACTTAGGAAAGGAATGGTATGGAAAATTGCAAGTATAGCATTCTATTGTCAAACAACAGTCCCTTAAAAGCAGTTTGGTTGAAAACCTTGAAGTTTTCAATACACTTCTTGTTTAGTCATGTTTCAGATCCCTTAAATACACTGTCTCCACCAATCCTTAATTCTGATATTGGTTCTACATAGTTACTGAGCTTCAATCACAACTGAACTTGAAAATATAGGAGAGTTTGGCACGATGAAAATCTTTCCTGCAAGTATTATTTCAGCTACTTGATTGATAAATTTATGAACATGTTATGGATTCCACAGGCTTAATCCCAAAATCATTTGAGCACTGCTGCAGCCTGGCTAGGCCTCCAACTCTCTCCAATAGTTTTAAAATACTTCTTTTCCAAATAAGAATAACATCAGCGATGATGCGTCAAAATAAGAAGAAAAAAAGTTATACCTCTATAGCAAATTGGTGTTGAGCCACATCAGTTTTGTTGAATACCAACACAAGAGGCAACCGCGTCTTATAAAGGATGCTGCAAGCGTAAAGCATATTGCTCATGAAAGTTACTGGGCTTGAGGAACGAGGTGTGTCAACTACATAAGCAACCACAGTTGGAAAGGTTGAAGCAAACGCTTCGGTAATGATAGCTCCAGAAGCAGACCAAGTGAAAATCTCAATTTGACCAGGTGTATCCACAAGGACATAATCAAGCTGATCTGCTCGGTTCTCAATGACTTGAATGACCTGAAAATGTGAAATACAAAGGTGAGGATATATTGGAATTAAGAGAACAATATGAAACTAGCGGTGAAAAAATCCACATGCAGGGAAAAAAACATTGCAAGACAGGCTGTGCTGATCCAATACCCCTGCCCAAAATGCTATCCACTAGCTAACACATGGACTGCTGTCTATCAGGATGAAAATGATACCCCTGACCACTCAATATTCAACCGAAATTCACATTGAAGTCAATAGTTGCAAGGTTCAGTGAAAATAGTAAAAAAAACAAAAAAAAATCACAGGTACTATGTGATTGGGGAGAAGAATAAGCCCATCTGAGGAAAAAAGGCTGCAGGTAGATTTTACCTCATCAAACTTTGTTGCAAACAAGTTAAGAGAAGTCAGGATTCCACCATTAGGTCCAAGATTAAACTGCTTCATCACTTCCTTGTACTTAACAGTGTCCCTTATATCAATATTTGCACCATAGGGGAGAGTCATCACAGCAGGGTCAAGGTTGAGCACATAACCACGAATCCTTGAAGCTTGTGTGTGGCAAACCAACCTATGAAGAAAAGTTGTTTTCCCACTACCTGTCCACATACAGTAACTGCTCTCAATCTCAAGCCCATTTTATGAATATAATCCCATTTGCGGATGAGTTGAAAAAAGAGCAGGCAGCAGGGATTGTCAAAATGAAAAGGCAAATAATAACAATTGTTCGCAAAAAACTAGCTGGATTACCTGCCATTCCAACAACAATGATGATAACCGGTTTTCTTTTGAATGTAGGTCCCACCTGCCCAGATGAGGATGCTTCCACATTCAAGTTATTCATTGAGTCAGCTAATTCATCCTTGTCTTCAGCAGTTCCCTTCACGTCAAAATCAAACATTGAGAAATCAATATGACAAACAATTCTTCAATAAACCGAAAAACTAAACTTGTTTTATCTTTTCTCACCAAACTGCCAAAAAAAATCGAAGAAAAATACCAGAAACAAAAACAGATTTTCAACTTAGTTTAGGAACAGCTGTGGAAATGGGAAAAATAAAATCCAGGTTCTGCTAATAGATTTTCACTACACAGCAGCATCATAAAAACAAAGAAGAAATGACTATGTTTCCTTGAATATGTACATGGTAATACAAACCGAGACATCCAAAAAAGGAAGAAATAAAAGAACGGAAAAGGAAGTGTTTTGGAAGCCAATATAATATAATATACCTTAGAATCCACTTGCACTTGCGTTGATGATGAGGTTTCATCCCCAGACTTGATATCCAATTTTTCGAGCTTAGAATCAATATCCATTTTCACTATTTAAAATAAAAAGTAAATAAACTGATTAGTACTATACAGTACAACGCATAAACCCTAAAAACAATTCCCTCGGTCAAAATCTCAGAGTCCCCTCGAAACCCTAAAATCAGCATGCAAAGAAAAGAAGAGTAAAATAAATAAAAGCCGATACAAAATTGAGCTTAACTAAACCCTAACAACATCTTCTCAGTTGAAATAAAAAAAACAACAGATGGGTTTTGAATATAATGTGAAGAATAAGTGTACCTGGGTTAGAGTGATGAAATTGAGTCAACCGGGTTTTTAATTTTTCTGGGAATACGAGGGAGCTCGGAGTGTTGAGACTTGAGAGAGCGAAGGAGGGCGGGCGGGCCAGCAGAAATGAGAAAATGGTTTTGCCTTTTTAGGACGTCTCGAATGAGAAGCAGCGCGTCTAGTTAATTGTGTAAAACTTGACCTGAACATATTTGGAAGTCCGGTTCAAAGTAACTTTATAAAAAATTAATTTTTTATATTTTATATTTTATATTATTTTAATTTATTCTGGATGTTAAAAATAATTTATTTTAATTTATTCTGGATGTTAAAAATAAATTTTAAAAAATAAAAAAAATCTTATTTTAATATATTTTTAAATAAAAAAACAAAAAAAAACTACTGCAATATTTACAAATACTCTAGTTCTAAAAACCAAAGAATAAAGAAAAAAGAGATTTTAGAGGAAAGTGAGAGTGGATAATGGAAGCATATAGAGTTTTAAGAACAATATCATTTTTTATAATATAATTATAATTGCAATTTAAAGGATTTTCAATGATAGCTGTGAAAGAGAGCTACAGGTTGGTATTATATTTTAAACGTTTAAGTTTTAAAAAAATACTTTATATATATATTTTTGTATTGTTTTAATATGTTGATATTTAAAATATTTTTAAAAATATATATATTTTTAAAAATAACTACAATAAGACTTTCAATCCCTCATTAAAATTAATTTTGCTAAAGCACTCACGATTTATGTTATGTATTGGCCTTCCTTTTGTTTATTTATTTATATACTCCGTGTGCATCAGGGCTTTTCTTTTTCACTATATCCACACCTTTTTCCTTTCTTGGCCCAAAAGTTTTTAGCTATTTTGCTTTCTTCCTTAAACTTCTCTTCTTTTTTATTTGGTCCTCGCAAGCTATTCTGTCATGTTTTATTTTTAAAAATTTGTTTGGATTCACATGTTTTTAAGTGTGTGAAGTGTCACAAAATATATTGTACTGAATCAATGATCACTTTACAGAATAATGTTAAAAAAATTAAAACAATAAATACCAAAATTGCATCAACAACAAAAATAAATTTTAAAAAATAATAATTTATATTATTGTTCAAAAAATTAAAATAACAAGTATCAAAATTAATACAAACAAACAAAAAAAATCTTTTTTGCAAATGCATTATTTAAAAGACATGGTTCACTTGATGCATTCATTTTGTATATATGATACTTGATATTTGATATTAGAAAATAAACGGTCAATTAAAAAAAATAGAAAAGAGAAAAAGGTTTGACTGGTTATATTTCAACCATGAAAAATTAATTTTTATATTAATAGGTTTGTCTTAGAAGTTAAAATTTAATAGAGGTGGTATTTAAAACACGATGAGAGGTTTATATTTAAAAATCAATTAATTTTTTTATTTTCATAGTTACTAAAGAATGTTTTGAAGTGAAACGATATTTTAGAGGTATTTATAAATGAAAATAAGTGAAAATTAAGTTTTCAGGGTTAAAACACTTGAAATTTAATTATTATTTTTATAACCGAATATGACTGAAAAGGACAATAATAAACACAGGCCATCCACTTAGTTAATAAAAAAAAAAAAAACAACAAATAAATAAACGACACGTCTTTTGTCTGTTTAAAAGGTGAGATGGTGTCATGTGGGCCTATGTTTTTACTTTTTAAGCTAAGTGCACCAACATGGTCTTCCCAATCGGATAGCCCCGAACCCCTTTTTTATTTGTTTTGTTTTTTATAATATTTTTAATTAATACAATAATAAGTCTTTCTTGATTGTTTTTATAATTTCATAATATCTCAAGAAATCATTATATAATTCATTTTTATTTTATTTTTTAGATTTGGAATATATTAAATGTATTTACATTATGTAAACCATATGTAATTTAGTAATTATATATAGAGAGCGTTTGAAGAGGCAAGTAAACTTATATTTTTATTAAAAATTAATTTTTATTTTATATTTTAAATTATTTTAATACATTAATCTCAAAAATAATTCTTTAAAAATAAAAAAAATATTATTTTAATATAAAAAATATTTTAAAAACAACTACAGACCTCCCAGGCAGCCTGTTAGTTGGTGCTATTGCCCAGTAGAAACCATCAAATTACCACATGATCTCGGAGATTGAAACTGCAGGGAAGACAACAATGAACAGCATGCCTTCCGATGGGGTTAAAAAACATCAGCTGTTCCTTGCAAGTTTTAATATCTCAAAATATTTTTAAGAAAATTAATATTTTATCTTTTTAAGAAAATATTTTATGATCTTATGTTTTCTGAATATAATATTGTGTGCTAGCTATGTTCTTTCATTTTCTTTGAGCTGTTCACGGTTGTGAGCAACCATTAACTGTCCGGTTTGCGGATCCTAAGAGGCCGAGGCCTGGAGGAGATTCAAGGTTTTTCAGCTGATGTCATCTTGCACCCTGGATTACTTGTATATTTTCTTGTTTGCGTTTTGAATGAAATTCACAAAATATTTTGTGAAATAGATCTTTAGTTTAACGTTGAAATATTCTCTGAAACACTTGATAGGAAATATAATAGAAATATATATTAAGATATAAATTATGGAAACAGAATTTGAAAGGATGAAATTAAAAATAAATTAAGTGCAATGATGAATTTGTTAAAAAGCAAAAATATCAGGGATAAAAAGGAAAATATTAGCTATAAATAGTAAACAAGCTAATGTAAGAAGATAAACAGTGAAACACGTCAAATCACCATTTTCTTTTCGTTTATAGTTTATAGTGCTAATAAAACTTTAATTTTGGGGTATTGTAGTTGAATCACATGTTTTTGACAAATTGATACACGTTATATTTATATTTTATAGTTCCTGGATAACGCTTCTAATCTGAGCTACATTATTCGCATGCAATTTGTCATCTTGCTTACATATGATCCTTAGTTCAAGAAGCTAAAGATTAATTGACAGCCCTACAATTCACACGTATCTCGCCACTGTCACCAGTAAGTGGCCCCAAGGCTCCCATTTTGAGCATGGAATTCTTGAAGTCCTCAAAGAACAATAACGGGTCCTCCGCATAAGATTCTACAATCTCACGTGTGCGATCATCTTGAACCACAAGAACCTGGTCTGATGGAAGCAATCCCTCTCCTGAAAGAAGATTAACGTAGTATTGGTTGTCAAATGTAGCTGGGGTCACCAGGTCAAGATGTGCTACTGTCGTGGTGCTGTCAGCAGTTTCTGAGCATAGTTGCTGCAGCGACTGAACGAAGTCCATATTAACATCAGGACCACCAGAGTTACTAGGGCTCTGGAACCGAGAGCTAAAAGTTGAGCACCTCGCTTTTCCCATTGTGTGCGCTCCTGCCAAATTACAATTAGACTGTGATTTTCGTTCAGTAGGCAGAAGTGTCCTTTCATGCATTGGGATACAAAAATTTTACCTGAGAGGGCGACCATATCATTTTGTGTGAGTCCGACATTCTGAAAATTAGCCACTAGAGTTGCTACACTGGAATTTGGAGCAGGGATGTTGTTAGTCGCTGCTGCCTTGCTAGCAGTCAAGCTGTCCCTCCTGCCCATCTGGACTTCCCAGCCTGGTCCACCAGACTGCAAATTAAGTAGAAGTGAGATCAGTTCAAAGCATTAAAAGATAGTAGTAAGATTTTCTTATAACATGAAGAGTGGGCGAAGATACTAGAAGAACAGAATCTCTGGCAACGATTGCGAGAATATCAGCACAAGAAACTGTTTCAGGACAAACAGATTCCAGATCAGCTTTAATGGCATCAATCACTTCAAACCCTCTTAGTGAATTCAAGTTGGGTGGTGCAGTTTTTTCACCCACAAAGTTCTCGGTATCATCTAGCAGCACTGAAGCATCACATCCCTGCAAAACACATAATGTGCATCATGATCATTGCAATTACAATAGAAGCTGTGATAAAGAGAAGCAATATGTATAATTCTGAAATTAAACTTGACTTGCATTAACAAAGCAATCATGGAAGTGAAGACGAAGCAGGGAAGCTGCCATTCTTGGTTCCTCGGAGATTGCACTTTGAACCCAAGATATTATAATAGGTTCTGCCTCTGGGCAGGATTCTTGGTAAACACCAAACTGCAGTAAGACACCAATATCACCCACACATGTTGTGTTCAAGGTGGTTGGTGTCTTTGCCAACGCAATTACAAACTCAATAAGCATCAAAAAACAAATGGCTAAGCCCATAGCCATGTTGCACTAGTTTGTATGGATGTATATGAAGTGGTGTTGGGGTTAATAGCTTCACTTATATAGAAGTTGCTGCTGTGAAAAAGGAGAGACGGAGCAATTTCACATTTTGGGTGGTTAGTGTTTACTGGACGAAATTGTCCGGACGTGGAAGCGGTCAAGTGCACAGGACGTGGTGAGCATGAACTAACCTAATCCCATGTGCTTCAATTTTTTTTACCGAATGCTTCAATCAGATTTGAAAACTTCCTTGGTATGTTGAGAGGAAGGGGCCCAGTAGTTTGTTAGAATCAACTGAAGCTTGAGTTGTGAGTTTGGTTTCTGTTGAGGGGCTGAATTGTTCCATTCATGAACTCATCATATGCAGATGCTTGTTTAAATCTCTGACTTACTGTCTGAAAGGCCAAGCATCTTTTTTTTAAAAAAAAAAATTAGCATTACAACTATGAACAAAAAAAAAAAAGAGGATCTCTTAGTGTCGCTGAGAGGAACTATGAACAGGCAATTGATCCTATCTAATCTGTACAGTGACTACCCAGAAAAAAACAGAGCGCAGGTGTAGTTCAGGGAATTTCCATTATTTGTGTTGCTTAATTGGGAGGTGCGGATACAATAGCTGCAATAATAGGTTTTATCTTCCTTGTGGTCTTGATATTAACCATGAAAAAAAAATTATGTATAGAACCACCATTCTAAGCAAAATGGCAAGATCAACCTACTTGGAGAAACCCATTTTCATTAAGTATGTATTTAATATTAAGCAAAATGCCAATTTCTAAATTTTAATCCCACTTCACTCGTAATTTTTTGAAATTTCCTTTCATGTTTTCCTATCCTTTTTTCTTTTTCTTTTTTTATTGTGTGTTTGTGTTTCATTTGTTGGGAATCTTCCGAGCAACTATTTTCCCCCTTCGCCCTGTTTTCAAAAATCACCGGGGCCTGTCCGCTAAGGGCGACGCTTAAGAAGCAGAACAAAGATCATCAAGACCCTTTGCATGCAACAAGGTCAGGTGGACTGGACACTCAAAAAGCCCTGATTTCTGTCGGAGAGGAATTTCCAAGATCGGCACTTGTCTGATGAACTATGGTTTAGTAATCGGGCCTCTCCATTTCTTGAGTACCGGGCTCTAATCAATAACAAACTAGGCTTCCTTTCTAGATGGGATGGCATCACAGCTAGGACAAAAACAAAAGGCCCATATCACCACTCATTTGCCTGTAATTCTTCTCCCCTCTGAAATGGACTTGTGGTTTTAATAGAAATGATAATTTAAGAGTTCATATATCCATCAACATGAATGGATGAGCTTTTTATAGGTAGTTATTTTATTTAATGGGCAATGAATATAATATAAATATTATCAAATCTAACCCTACACACACACACACGTGTGTGTGTGTGTGATGTGCAGTTGATTTTTTAGGTGTTCATATATATTTCACTTGAGCAGTTGAGGATAGAAAGCTTTTGTTGTTATTAATTGTATATATCGAGTTTACAAGTTGAACTGAAGCTTATAATTAGTGGCTGCCTAGAAAGCTTGGGGCTTTGATCACATAGGACAGTTCTTACTTTCCACTCCTCTTTTCTGAGAACAATATTCATGATGGGTGCGATTTTCCCTTTCTTCCACTGTCTAACGATGCTTAAAGGCAAACACACTTCATCCTGTCATTAATTTAAAGAATATTCACTGCTAAATCATGGTGGAAAAAATTATGAGAATCTTTATCATGTTCACTGTTCCATCGTAATTTTATATATTTGTGACCTTCCTATACTCGTACCGTATCATGCTTTTCCTAAAAATTGATAGCAAGGGTTTTACACCATTTCTAGGGGACACCCAGTTCCTCCCAGCATGCGATCATGGCCTATGCTAGATGCTACCGCTTTACAGATCACTCACACGCAAGATGAAACCTCCGTCGTCATGGAGATTTGTAGTATGATGTGAATGGATGCAACATTTCCAGCTAATGATATTAAAAAGATTGAGAAATATTTTGCCAAAAAAAAAAGTAGATTAAGATGGGAGTGAAAGAAATTGAAGGTGTTGCTTATGAAAATCTTCAACAGATTAAGCAAAGGGCCTAGTTAGGAAATAATTAAGGATGACAAGACATTTTAGACAAATAAAAAATATTCCACGTCACCTTATCCCTACTTTCACAAGTTGTCAACAATATACGCGCGCCCAGCTACTTAATTTCAAGAAATAATCCCATTTTCTAAAGCACGAGATTTGAATCTTCTCTCCACTACATAAGCAACTGAAACCATGCTTAATATATAAGCAAATTCTTGTTTCGTGAACAACGTATTAAAAAGGGATACATACATTGAGCTGTGCCTGTAGGCCCTGTACGTATTTATTCTCACAAATAAAAGTGTTTTCCTGTACGTATTTATTCTCACAAATAAAAGTGTTTTTTTTTTTTTTGTCTTTTTCGGTGCTTACTCGCATGTTTGATAACACATGTTTATATATCTGCGCAGATAAATTAGGATGTGAGTACGTGTTATTTTAGTACATATGCTAAGCTTGTTTGCTTTGTGATTTCTGAAGGCGTTGGATGTTAAATGAAGCTAAGAGATAGTGTAAAAGTTGAAGGTGGCCTTTCATATATACAGTACTGTTTCTCCTACACCCATAGATTAATTAGATACAAAAGATGGCCGCTAGCCGCTAGTAATTGCAGCATGGCATGTAAAATGAATTCCAGGGTCCTCGCAAAGACAGTGCATTATGGACTAGACTTGACACCTCCAAAAGCAATATCCATACGAAAGCCAAGATATCTTCAGCAATGTTTAAAGCAACCCATATATATATATATGCCATCAAAAATCTTTCACCGTCCTTCAATAATCAAGAACCACAGAGTCCATCCCCATGCCAGTTAATATATGTTCACATCATCATTCAATGCCTCGAGTTTTCAATCTGAGTATATATAACTTAAAGAGGAAGAAATGGCCATAATTCATCGCGATCAGTGGTATCAAGTTGTCGCTACACTTTGCACCCCATGCATGTTACAAGATAATGCGATAAAATATTTATCCATATTTTTCACAAAGAATGCATCTTTAATTAACCTTATTGAGCTACGCATACATGTATCAAGTTCATCCTTGATTTCTCATTCCCGGGAAAAGTCTAGGATTTAATATACAAATTAGGTGAAAACGAGCTCAAACCAAATAATTTGTTAAATGTGAAGAAACCCTAACCTTAAATTTGCTGACAATACATATTTTCTATATAGCCTTTGCTCATATCAATGTTCATGCACCAACCTAACTAAAATAAAGAAGAAGAAGAATTAGTAAGTGCAGGAAGAATATAAAGAAATTGAATATCTAAAGAGAACAACGATGATACAAAACCCAACATCTCCGTACTGTTATAATCTCTGGATACAAAGAATACAGCAAAAGAAGAAATTAATCTAAGAGATCAACTAGTCCCCTCCATATATAAGCTACAAGGCTAACCATATTATAATGTCAATAAGGTTCTATATCATGTAAAAGGTGAAGTGGGATCTTCTAAAAATAAATACAGAACTCCATAAGTAAGTTAGTATTCAATCACATACCGATATCCAATACAGAACCCTTCTACTCGTCTTTAAACTCCTTTCTGATTATCTGAGAGGGCACAATATCCTGAAGAAGGCCATGGTCTCTAAGCAAAGAAGATGGGCTCCCCAACCTTCTCTCTTGAAGAGAAAAGGAAGGACTAAAACGAGAAGTACTTGAAGTAAAGTTTAAAGAAGGTGATGAGCTATACATGGAAGCATCTTTTTGCTGGTACAGAGGTTGCGGAAAAACAAAAGACGACGTTGCAGCACCAAAACCACTAGAATCAGCCAAGATTCCAATACTTCCTCTAATTATTGGGCTTGGATGTATGTGTTGTCCTTCATATGTTGTAACAACAATAGATGGATCATCTGATGATCTCTCCACTCTCTTCTTCACACCACAGCCTGCACTAGTGCAACGATAATAACTCCTGCAAGAAAAGCAATATTATCATCATCATCACCCAACGAAAGGTGATGCATATTTATTACTTCTTGCTACCTAAGTTACAAGATTTTGTGTATCATCGTATCAGAAGAGCAAGATGGGATTGTAATTATACCTTGGATAGGGACTGTTTTTCACAGCTTTCTGGCCGTACTTCCTCCACCTGTACCCATCATCTAGGTGATCAACTTCACTCTTTGTCATGAAAGCAAATCTCGGCTCTCTTAGCCTTTTTTGGCTCCTCTTTTTCGGTTTTAACCTAAACCCAGAACACATTATTACACTCTCAGAGCTTTCAGAGGGGAAAAAACAAAAGCCAAAGAAAGAAAGTAAACGAAAAGAAAACTAAAAAAAGAAAAGAATCACAACAGACCACAAAGCCCCGCATCAAATTGCACAAAACAGTAAACGTAAAGAAAAACCCGTCTTTTTAATTCATTTTCCTTTCAGTAGATCACTCATTACTCTTTTACTTTCATGTTTCAATCTAAAACCAGAAACTCACGGTAACAAACGAGACAAAAGGAGACAAAAACAATACCAATATTATATTATAGTGCAAAAGGAAAAAAAAAAGGAAAAAAATTACTGTTTCTTGTTCTTATCTTGATCCTGCTCTTCCTCTTGATCTCCAGCTTTAACTTGTTGGAAAGCATCCTCTCCTGCTTCATTCGAAGAGGAAGAGATAGAAGCTGATGAATTCGGAGTTGCTGGATTGTTCAACACCTCCGATGTTTCCGGTACAGTTGATGCCGGTGAAGGGACAAAAGACTGTTGCTGCTGCGGAGACCCCACAACCGGATTCTGATTAAACCAATCAAATAAAGAAGCAGAAGCTCCAAAATCTTGGTTGATATCAAGCAAGTCCATAAATCCTAAAGACCCTGCCTTTTGATCACCACCAGTACTAATATCACAAGGTATCATGTCAAAGATGCTACTTGTTGGGGGTGGTGGTGGTGGTGGTGTTGATAGAGAAAATACATTAGGCATGTGATCAATATCACTTGTTGGTGGTGGTGTAATGAATGTAGAATTTGCCATATTGAAATTCTCTGTCTTTAATGCTGTTCTTGTTAACTCTTTCTTCTCTTCTCTCTTCTCCACAGAATTTATGCGCACAATACTGATATCATGATTCTGCTTCATTTCATTCATCACCAAAAATAAAAAATGATTTTGAGAGCGTGAAACAACTTGAAAGTGTGAATGGACATTCAACTTCTTGTGTCTAACAGCTTAAATTATTGAGGTTTCCCATTGTTGAGGTGACCGGCATCTGCCGGTTAGGTTGTGTACGGAAGTTGTAGCCTGGGGACGGTGTTTGGCATTAATTGCAGCTGGACCGCAATTGGGGTCCACATTTTCATACGCGGATAATTTGACTGGTTTCACCGGTTGCGGGGAGACAGACTTCTTAGGTACACGTGGGTTTTGAGAATGGATTTGGAGCAAAAGTTTTACATAGTCAGTGTGCATGTGATCTCTCTCTGCCTTTGGTTTTTGAGTTTCTCTCGCCGGCGCCTCCCTCCCTCCTTTTATCACTTTTAGATGACAATCTTACTTTCGCTGTTTTTCGATCAAAATGACACCAATGAAGTTATTTTTAGGAGGCTTTTTTTTTATATATAATATTTTTTAAATTATTTTTTATTTTTATTTTTTTAATATTAATACACTAAAAAGATCTAAAAACATATAAAATAAATTAATTTAAAATAAAAAATTAAAATTAGATAAAATAATATATCACTATGCAAACAGTACTTTAATTTTTTTGAATAGTGTGACTCATTTTTTTTGAAATTTAAAGAAAAAGATAGTTGAAATTCTAAAAAAATTTAAAGAAAAAGATAGTTGAAATTCTCTTTTTATTTTATAGCTTTCTTTATATATATATATATATATATATAGATGGAGGGAGGGGTTGCTTGCATCACGTACAGCTATCCTATTAAAGAGCTATTTGATACTTATTTTTTTTAGCTCTTCATGTAGCTTTTTCATTGGAGATATCTAAATGATACCTCCTTGCAGGTTAATCTAATGAAGTGCAGACTTGGCTTACGCCAAGTCAATAGAAAAAACTCCTTTTTTTTTAATCAAAAGACTGTTGTTTAAGGAGGGTTTTTTTAAAAAAAAAATAGAACTTAGAATGACTCTATTTAGCTGACTTGATAAATTATTCAAATTTTAAATTAAATCAATATTGAAATCAAGTTTTATAGCTATATTTTATTTTATTTTAAAATTAATTTAACAAATATCAATATTGCAAACATAAGATAAAAATATATCTTTCAAAACTGTTTAACATTGCTAAATGGAAGATATTCCGTCAAAATATTTAATTATAATTAAAAGTTTAAAAGAATATCAAAAAATTATCTCAATTTAAAAATTTAAATTATTACATGAGATTTTAATATATGATTTATATTATTATCTAATAAATTCTTTCAAGTTAAAGCTTTTTATTTAATTTTTATTAAATAAATAGGAATTGTGGAATTTAAACTCTTGACCACTTGACTATAGAGATTGTGATACCATATTAAAAAGAATTTAAACTCTTGACCACTTAACTATAGAGATTGTGATACCATATTAAAAATTCACTTTAATTTAAAATTTTAAGTTATTGGATAAAATCATAATATATAATTTATATTATTTTAAAAAAATTATTAATTAAGTTTGATATTTCTAAGATGGTACCATTTTCGTTATATTCCAACTAATTCAAATTCTTATCTTGTTAAATTTGATGTGATGATATGATCAAGGATTTGTTTCGAGCACGATCAATTCCGAAAACCTCAATTTCGAATCCTTGAAAAGACTCCATATTCCTTACCTTTGACATGCACATCATTTCTAATTTTGCTTTTGGCAACAATGATTTAGGAAGTTCAGGAATTTAATCCATCCATGTATGTAATCTTCGGCAGCATTTATGCAATATATTCTTGGTATATTACGTACCGAAACTGGAGCAGAAAGTTAAACACACCTAGAGCCTTGGATAATATATAGGTGCATCCTGATGATTTTTCTTCTTTTTTTTAATTCCAAATGTCAAGATTTTTATTCAGATTTTGAGTGTTCAAACCGAATTTATTCTTGGTCGGATATAATTAGATTTTGTATATATTGAATTAAATTAAAAAAATAAATCTATTAATTTATATATTAACATATGCCAACAAACATCAAACTTGCTATTTCATTAAGAAAAATCTTTTAAGAATAACACTATTAGAGTAATGTATAACTGAGTTGATCAGTTGACTCCGCTTAACTCAAGATTCTTTTCCTTTTACTGGTGGTTTTATATTTTTCATAACAATTAATCTAAGAAATATAATCAAATTGGAACCAGTTATCTATTGTTTCTATGATAATTTGATTTTTTTTCCCCATTTTGAAAATCCTTTTAGTCTGAGTCACTATACGACCCCATTGAAAATATTTCTAGCCACGCCTCTAGAGAATGGAAAATTACAGCGACTGCAAGCGAGACATTCTTGTGGAGTGAAAATTCAATTAAGGGTAAGCTGCTGCCACCAGGGAAAGTAACAAAAAACTATCCACACATCAAAAAGAGCTTCGTTAAAAGAAGCAAAATAACCGCGTCGTGAGCGTGTTAGAGAAGGTTCTTGACACGTTTGGCCCGACATGAAGTGCGCGATGATGACACAGTCTCCACGTCGCCAAACCCGTCCCCGCACCGCATCTCTCTTTTCCGACGAGCTAACACCGTCAATGAACACCGTTTTAACCAATGCTCGCAGCTATTTTCGTTGAGTTCTTTATAATTCAATTAACTAATTGGCTGGCCATCTCTAGATTAATTATTAATTAGTTGACACGACTTATAGCCGGAAAAGTATTCCCAGTGACAGGAATTGATGTCATGTAATTAAATTCTGCTTCTGGTCTGTTGTTGTGCCACTGACAAACTACTAGTTAGTTCCTCCTTGCAATGAAGTTAACCTGTTGCCATGTCGAGAATTATTAACTTCAATAACCACTTGTTGGATCAAAATCATCGGTCACTGGGTATTCGAGGATTTACATGCATGGATCCTGTTACTTGTACCAAAATATTGATGCATGAACACAGTAAATCACAGCAATACCGTTAATCTGGTCTAATGAATCAAATTCATATAATATTTTTTTATTCAGGTATTTTCTCTTGTTATTTTCTATAGTTTTTATTTATTATTGAATCACGGATTTGAAAGATTATTTAATTAATAGTATATTTGCCAATCATATAAAAGAAGAAAAATTTTAATGTTTCACCTTTTTTATTTATATATATTTCCCAATCAAATGTGTATTGAGTTTGTTAATTAGCTCAGCTATTTAAGTCCAGATGAATGGTGTAAAGGCAACCAGGAGTCAAGGACGATAAAATAGGAGTCAATGACGATAATTTTACCCATACTTGTATATCGACTCAAACGCATAGTAAAATTTTAAATACAATTGGATTTGAGTAAAGCTTAAAGATAAAATGAGTTAGATATAAATATTGGTGTACTCAATCTAAACTAAAAGTTTATATATATATATATATATACGTGGTTGTATTAGACTGGATTTAAATAGTTATTTTGGGATAATACAAAATCCAACCATCCATTATTATCCGTTAGCCCAGGATACCCTAATCATGAATAATCATTCATTTAATACTTCGTTAGATGGCATTATCGGTGTATATTCAAACCTGTTTGATTCCAACATCCAAGTAAGAGATAGAAAGAGGTCCCGCATTCATAGGAGGTCAACTCAGATTATGTGAATATTAAATTATTTGTAATCATAATTAACGTTGAATGTTAAATTGATTGTCACTTTAAATTCATAATTACACGCATATTTTATAATCTTACAATTACTTCTTCAAGTAATTTTATATATTCCATCTCTCAAGGGTTTTTTTTATTTGTTACTGTTTAAGAGCTATATTTATATATATATCGAAATATCAAAATATTGAAAGAAACATATGTTTTTACATTATTGGATATTAAAATTTGGTCAGCAAAAGCTAGCAAATGAAGAGAAAAAATTGTTATAAAAAGCATGATCCCACTCCTCGCTTCCTTGATCATTATTGTTTGTTTTTATATTTAGATATGTTTTAAGAATATTTTTAATTTGAAAAAACATTAATTTTTAATTTTTAATAATTTTAACATCCTAATATTAAAAATAAGTTTTTTAAAAAAAAACACTACATATATCTTAGACCTCTTTTTTTATAGGAAAGTATTTTTTTTTTAAGTGGTGTCTTGAAAAGTGAATTTTAAAAAAATAAATTATTTTTCAATATTTAGTATGTTATGAAAAATAAATTGAAAAATATTTTCCAGTATTTGGTTATATTATAAAAAATAAACTGAAAAATAGCTTATTAATATTTTTTAAAATTTTATTAAAATAATAAAAAACAAATCTTACAGATTAAAAAATTAAATAAGAATGGAATTGAAAAAAATATAATTTTATAAATTATCTCAAATAAAATAAATAATAATTAAAATAATAAAGATCAATTATAATAGATAAAAAAATTAAAAGATTATAAAATTAAAATAATAATAATAAAAATTTAAGTAACAATAAAAAAATAATGATTAAATTTGATAAATAAAATTTTTAATAAGAAATAATAAGAAAAAAGTAAATAATAATTATAAAAATAAAGATCAAAATTAGTATAAAAATAAAATTTTAAGGGATAAAATTAAAAAAATCAAATAAAATATATTGTAATAAAAAATCTGAGGATTAATTTTAACACAATCAACAAATAATATGATATTTTTATAATTTTTTAAAAATATTTTCTGTTCAAAATAAAAGAAAAATATTTAAAAAAAATTAATTTTTTTTAAATATTTTTCTTTTATTTTGAACAGAAAATATTTTTAAAAAAATATTTTTTTTGATAGAAAAATATTTTTTATTAATTAAAAAATATTTTTTATTGATTAAGTTTTTAAAAAATAAATAAACTTAAAAAAACATTTCTGAAAACCAGTTTTAAGAACGCATTCTTAAATCCATTTAAGTTTAACAGAGTTCCTGGTTGTTATTTTTTTTTTTGGGGTGGGGGGGGTTGTGGGCATATATCATAAATCTTCTTGATGTGTGATGGCTGGTATAAAGGCTATGAGGTCATTTCAAGGTACAACCTGGATTATTAGGATAAAACTTCCAAGAACTTCTTTTTGTCAATTCCATCAAACATCAAGAGAAAAAATCCAAAGCCAAGACATTTTGTTATCTGGGATACCGTTGATCGATATTCAAAATAAAACGACTGTAGCAACAACAGAAATTATTGTAATTAAGTTTTATAAATTCTATTTATTTTGATGTTTGAGAAATATATTTAAAAATTTTAATTTTTTATTTTAAATTAATATTTTTTATATTTTCAGATTATTTTAATACGTTGATATAAAAAATAATTTT